TCCAGGCAACAAAATGCATGAACCATTGATAATATCATGTTTGATTGAATATCCTAATTTGACAAATTTAGCGTGGTAGTCCATATTTACCACATTTAACAAATGTTAGTGTGGGTGAGTGAGTGAGTGAGTTGGGTTTAACGCCGCTTTTAACAGTATTCCAGTTATATCACGACGTGTCAGCTGAATGTGGGAGGAAAGCCCGAAGTGATGCAGGTCTTAGACGTTTATCACTTCGGTGAAACCCACGAGCATGGGTATGATGCTGAGAAACCTAGAAATATAATCGGGGCGAACCGGGATTCGTACCCACAATCATAGGTTTCTGGCGTGCCCAAGGAACGCAACTCTGCACAGCGAATTGCGGCGCCTTAGACGACTGGGCCACCCGTTTGTATTGTTACGTGTCGATTCCCAAATTGAAACAAAATATTAACCCAGAAATCTGTACGTAAAGGAATTTAGTGTGAAACCAAAAAACAACCAACAAGTAGTATACAATCAACAAATGTACGACAAGACTCACTAGGTTTACAAATCAGTACAAATTACTGCACAGCAATTACAGTGGTAGAGTGGTAGTACAATAGTCAATGGCAGTATATGTACTGTCTTCCCCAAACGTTATTTAGGTTCTAGCAGCCATCAGTTGACCGATCCAACAGAGTGAGGCACAGTCTTGTAAAATATTGGACACAATTGAAATGCCAGATTAAAAGTTCATTACTTCTGTGCACGCCAGTGTGCATGGATGTATTTGGAATAAGGCTACAACAAAACAAAAGAATTACTCCTGACGCAATGGGGAAAACACACGTGTACGTGGGTACTTTTACTTCCGTGTGGTAGACAATTACTTTATATAACCCAAGTCATCCTAGCAGAGTATAAATACTGAAAGATGAGTCAGAGGAATCACCATGCTTATCCCTATAGTGTGTGTGTGTGTGTGTGCGTGTGTGTGTGCGCGTGTGTGTGTGTGTGTGTGTGTGTGTGTGTGTGTGTGTGTGTGTGTGTGTGTGTGCGTGTGTGTGTGTGATCTAAGTGGAGATTTTACGTGCGCATCATAAATTGTAGAAGTGGTTTCTGATGCTACATTACACTAGAATTAGAAACACAAAATATAGCATAATTTACATCCAAAACATATTTAAAAGCTTCTTAACGATAGAAGTGATACACTTACACTATGGATGGCAGAAGTTTAACCTGAAAAAGCATGCAATGCTAAAAACCAGTGCGGCGTACCCACGGAACCAATGTGGTTGTTGCGACCGACAAAACGCAGAACGTGTCTAAAACAAGCACTTCCGGTCCTAAGTGAAGCGCATGATTGCAAACCACTAAATCAAATGCTACTTTTACTTGTACCGTCACAGTATAAAATATGATGACAGTGGTCAGTATCAAATACAAAAATACAGTGGTGATATCAAAAGTCAGTGATAATAAATATTCACCCAGCGGAGACAGTGGTCAAGCTTCCGAGAAAGGCCGAAGCAGGGAATCCGGAGTTATAAGTGATATTTATACAAAAGAGGGTTTTGATCATGTAATGTGAGATGATATGTGTGAGAGATACTAGGAGCACGCTCTTGTCCTCTTATATACAGTCTAACTAGCTTCTTGAAACTTCCACACAGTGCAATCACATTACAGAATATTCCATGTTTCTATAACGCTCTATCTCAGTCCACTGTATTCCGGAAGTTTACACGTCACACTAGCATCTAAATATAGTAACTTCCTCATCACTGTTTACATTAAATAGTACTACATTCCTGACAACCAATCACTGTCCAAATACTATGCAATGAACCTCCCCCGAATCTCCCCGTGCGCGTATTGTCCAATGACAGGGTCAAACTATGTAACCGTTAACATGTTCAAGACATTTTTACATGGTTTTAAATAGTTATTTTATGTTGTATGGAAATCTAGTCTAATTATGTTTTAAAAATCGAGTGTTTCATACAATTAACGAATATTAGGTGAGATATATATTAATCAATATATACCAATGTCGTCTTTCTCCGACGTCACCAAAGACGTAAAACACGCCATGAGGTTAAACAAGGTGTAACAAAGTTTAGTAAGTCATTTCATTTGCTGATAAGGCTAGTACTCCATAAATAATTGTGAGCTTTAGTCAAATAACTCTTTACCAATCAGGATAATGCGGTGATCTATAGTCATCGCCATTGAAAGAGAGTACCGAAATATCGCGATGAATAAATCATGAAAGTGCAGTGTTCTTATACTTATTAAGACGTACGCTGCACACGCACGCTGCTAAATATTGTGGCGAGGACTATAAGGCCTAATTTGCATGTTAGATAGGGCAATCCATTTCGTTGTTACCTCCTTTTTTATGTAGTACGACATCAGTTCTTATGATTTATGATAATACCTAAACGTATATGGTTTCAATATTGATATTTGTGTTCGAATAGTTTGGTTCTGGTGAACAACAAAATACGAATATAATTCAAAACATACTGTCTTTATCCATTGAAAATTCTCACGAAAAAGCTGAGTTACAATATTTATCCCAACATATCAAATCGACAAACGTACGAAATACTGTGATAAGGGTTAAAAAAAATAAAAAAAATGGTTCGCCTCTTCATCAGGGAACCTTTGAAGCTTTGACTGACAATATTCTATCTCAAACAAAACCACGTAGCATCTATTCCCGCTTGGGATATTAAATGATCGGTTCAAAAGTGCTGAGATCTTTAATATTATCTAACTGTAAGTGCTTCGACCTTTAATATTATCACGATACCCCCTTTCCCCGTCACGAGATGAGAGAAACATGTGGTTATCAACGTCATATTCCCCGGAAAATTAATTTATTTCATTACAAGTGTGAAATCTGGAAACGTAAATTCTCCCTACCTAAACTACCTAACATACAGGACGGTTCACAACCCCATTGTATTTGCGACTGAAAAAGTAGTTTCGTTTGCAAAATCTTAACCAAATATATACAAAAGAATATTTAGGGTAAATATTTATTTTTATTCTGTATCATACATAGAAATATGATTTATTTAAAACTCAACTTCGATTATATTCTTCAAACATACGAGACCGCTGTCAAGAAACAAAAATGGTGCTTTGCGAAAAGGTTGACGACAATGAGACATTTACAGTTTATAACGAAACATTTTCGAGAGAATAACAAACATGAAGCGATATTAACTCTATGAATGACCATCTGTCATTATTTTGCCTTGTCAATGTGGAACTAACTTAAAAAGGACGTCAACAGTTCGTGTACTGGCCAGACATTTTCGATAAAGGGAGACAGTTTGAGGGGAGGTAACTCGATCTTGTATGGTAATAGTTCCGTCAAAGTGTTGTGTTCACTACAGTGAACTATCAATTGTTATGTTCACTGCAATGAAAATAGCACTTTTCTCAACTTCGGAAAACTCAGTCTTTCAAACTGAAGTATATAATGAATACCACTCTTCACTTGGCTGTTGTCACTCCAGCTTGATAACCGTTTGAGATACATCGAAATGTCACTAAATGCAATAACCAGATTTTGCTATCCATAAAGTTGTACGTTTTCTTACTTACGCAACAAGTTCTAATTGTCTAATTAGTTAATTTGTTCATATGTTTCGATGTTAACACCTGATATTTCTCATCTTTGATGAACCTTGCAAGGATTCTTGAGAGGTGAATACCACTTGTCATGCTTTATGATAATGATGTACCACTATAGTGCATTTGTTGAGTATATGTATCCATTCAAATTTAAACCTCGCAGGATAAGACAGGAATGATGTGGACCGTTTGAGAAAATACTTCAGCAAGTACTTTGAACAAAGGTAACTCTGCATTGGGATTTGCGGGTAATATCGTGGTACACTCACTGGGCTACATATATGAAGGTTGCGAGTTCGATCCTCGGGAATATAAAGAAAACATTTGTCATTTGATTTTACATTTCATTACATGTTACAATCTGAACGGAAGTTATATTAATAAAATACCCGGGACATTATATAAAATCCCTGGGATATTATATAAAATCCCAGGGACATTACAACGTCCCTGTTTATGAGATTAACCCGACTGGAAAGTAAAACTTCACAATAGGTTTTAATGCCTATACAAAGAAGTCTCTTACTTCATAGCGATCCCAATGAATAGGTTTATAAGTGAAGAAACATACTTTTCGCAGAAATATAAGCCACAACTGAATCTTTTCAAGTCCAAGGTGCGTCCATTAATAGTATTTACTTTTGCTTTGATTAATTTGAGCCTGCTACACCTTCTGCACCCATGACTACTTGGTGATTTTGGCATCTTTATGACTGCCTGCATAAGTAATAACAGTAACAGGATAATGCCATGAAGACAAGGAATGTACGTGGGAGAAATTTAGAGTCGGGGGAATGAGATGACACAGTGAAACTGCCGCCACGGTACTTTTGCTCTCCTTATGATAATAGCAGGTTACAGACACACGATCAGGCAGTTGCAATTCTGACGGCACCAACGTCATTAAACCATCTATCTGTTAAATTATAAAATGAGTCAAAATAAACGAAACAGTTTATATTACTTATTCTTGCGTGCGATGTCTGACACGCCATCAACCCCATTTATAAGCTGGTGATCCCTTTCGGCATAATAACAACGAGTCCTTCCAACTGAATCAATAAGCGGCAAGAGTGCAACATGACGCCGACAACCTCAACCTGACGCCATCTCCTCCTAAAATACAAAGGGGGATAATTCGCGCTGGTTTGTCGCAGAAACGAGATAATGCAATGAAGACAAGTAGCATGCGTGGGATGAATTTAGTGTCGGGGGAATGAGATTAGGGTTGCGACCGGGTTCGAAAACTGAACTCGAGTACCCCTAGCTCAATGTTGTCCCACTTGTTTGTAATGCTTTTGCGAATAAAAGGTCATCAAACATCTATTATCTATTCTAAGGTATTATATGTTTTTTTATTAAATGCCTGCATGGCTTACCTAAATCATTTGAACGTTTGTCCACTTTGTCGTCCATTTTGAAGTGACTTACGAGTTACGAAAGGCGATTAGAGTTATCTCCCCTGAACGGGTACTCGAGTCCTGAAAATTGGACTCGAGTCCTAAGCTACCCGACCCGTTATCGGGTACTCGAGTACCCGTCGCAACCCTAAATGAGATGATACAGTGAAAATACCGCCACGGTACTTAAGCTCTCCTTGTGATAATATCAGGTTACAGACACACGATCAGGAAGTTGCAAGTTTGACAGCACCAACGTCATTAAACCATTTATCTGTTAAATTGAGAAAGGAGTCAATGGAAGCAAAACAGTATTTAAGTTTGATTCTTTTTCGCGTCTGACACGGCATCCAACCAAATTACAAAGCTGGTGATCTCCTTTGGCAACCTTTTTTTTTTTTTTTCAGGCAACAATCACTTCAAAAACTCCGGGTAAGGAGATCCCGGTCGAGAAGTCTCCAGCAACCCATACTTGCAGTACAAGGCGACCGACAGGATCGGGTGGTCAGGCTCGCTGACTTAATTGACGCATGTCATAGTATCCCAACTGCGTAATTGCTCATGGTGACAATCACTGGATTGTCTGGTCCAGACTCGATTATTTACAGACCGCCGTCATATAGCTGGAGTGAGTGAGTTGGGTTTAACGCCGCTTTTAACAGTATTCCAGTTATATCACGGCGTGTCAGCTTAATGTGGGAGGAAAGCCCGAAGTGATGCAGGTCTCAGACGTTTACCACTTCGGTTAAACCCACGAGCACGGGTATGGTGATGACAACCTAGAAACATAATCGGGGCGAACCAGGATTCGAACCCACAATCATAGGTTTCTGGCGTGCCCAAGGGATGCAACTCTGCACAGAGAGTGCAGCGTAAAACAACACACAAACAAGGTGAGGTGACATGGGGTTTAACGTGGCATCCAAGAGTATTGCACTTATGTAGCGATGTGCTGATGCCGATTTATAGTGCTTGCCCAGAGATTCTATGTGGAAGTTTAACATGAATACCCCACTCAGACACAGTATACTGACTCGGAGCCAAACATTCCTTGTTTTAGCCCCTTACTGCCGAGCGCCAGACAAGGTAACAACAAGTACCATCTTTTAACGTCTTTTGGTATGACGTGGCAGGGATCGAACCCGGCACTTTCCGCTCTTGGGCGGACGCTCTACCACAGACCACAGAGGCAGCAACAAACAAACAAGATAACACCTGTAATATACCATGCCAAAAAAGTAGGGGATAATAGGATTGGTTGGTTTGTTTGTTGTTTCATGCTGCACTCGCATCACGCAATTGGGATCAATGACATGCATCAACCAAGTCAGCGAGTCATCCGTTAGTCGCCTCTTACAACAAGCATAGTCGCCTTTACAGCAAGCATGGGTTGCTGAAGACCAATTCTACCCTGGATCTTCAGGGGTCGGGATAGTAGGAATCATCACGACATATCATCTGATTGGTAAATGATCATATCTGCTGGGGAGTAGGATCAGACCTATTGGGTTCTGACGGAGATGCTGGCGCCAGACAGGGTAACAACAAGTACCATCTTTTGATATGACACGACCAGGTTCGATCCCCAGACCTTCGGCTCTACCATTAGACAACAGAGGCAGCCCTCAGATGAAAGAAAGGCTACACAGGTCATCAGCTCTCACACTGATATAGTTAGTTGGTTGGTTGGTTTGTTGTTTTTGGCCGCACTCAGCAATATTCCAGCTATATGATAGCGGTCTGTGAATAATCGAGTCTGGACCAGACAATCCAGTGATTGATATCATGAGCAACGGTCCATGCAATTGGGATCGATGACATGCTTCAACCAAGTCAGCGAGCCTGACCACCCGATCCCGTTAGTCGCCTCCTATGACAAGCACAGTTGCCTTTTACGGCAAGCACTGGTTGCTGAAGACCTATTCTACCCAGGATCTCCACGTGTGTCACATTGATATAACTGCAACCCAAAACATTTTTAGTATTGGCTCGTGACATGTGATGAGACCTGGATCATTAACAATGGTCCCAATAGCAACATGAATCAGTGGAGTGGAAACCAAGGAATTTAAAGCAACCTGATACACTTTGAGTGGTAAATATTATGACGTTTTTGAAGATTGCATGTCTATCGTAGGTCCATCAAACACTGGCGTGGTGTTCTGCATCAGTGCAATGCTCCGGCTCATACCAGTCATGTTGCAATAGCTGATGTACACAAATGTTGATATGAGCTTCTATCCAATCTACCTTTTTCTCCAGATCTGGCCCCAAGTGACTGTCAGTCATTTTCAAATTCGAAAAAACGCTTGCATGTTCTGAGATTTAACCAACAACAGGTTGCTGCTGTGGAGAGCTGCTTGACAGACCAGGATTTGACTTCTACAATACAGGGAACTGATATTGAGAAGAGATTGAACAAGTGTACTGAACTGAAAGGGGGCAATATTGGAAAATAATTAAAGCTCACAATATTTCAGTTTTATACAGACATTTATTGCACATTAACATCCTGTTAGTCCAGGAACCCCCTACTGAAAATTAATGTTTGTCTGCCTCTACCGTATGGCAAGATATTTCCAGCTGACACTGACGCTTGCGTGCACCGATCTTCCAAAGAGATCTTTCCTCAATTCATGCAGAATGCACTTTGTTGAAATCCGCAACACAACTGCTGTTTTACTTTTTAGGTGACATTGCTATCATAAAAGAAAGCTGTGAATGGCAGCATTTGAGTGAACAACTTGCAAACAAAGGATTCTTAAAAATAAAAAACAAAATCAAATTTGCAGTGATTTTTATTATCGAACGGTTTCCTGGTGGAGGCGCAGAACTCTGTAATGCCATACAGCCACGTTGGGCAGTCATACACACATCCTCAAGGAGTACACAAATACACACACTCTTGGGTATCTACCACTTAAATCAGGACTCAAACTGTACAGCTGGTACTATCAATAATCATTTCTTATAATTTACAAAATTGAATTTCCCTGTGTTTAATTTCCCTTGTTAATGGAAATGACTTCAGTTGTACTGAACCTGAATTTGATAGTGTTACGTCCAGCATTGTAGTTACTACTATTTACTGGCATGTATCACAACAGCGGAACTACTTCTCCCCTGCATCCTTTAACTGAGAAATCTTCTTCTTGTGCCTGTCAATGGCTTCCTGAAGAAAGAAAATATCAACCTGTTAAAAGACAACACCACTGTAAAAAGTCTTCAAAATCGAGAAATAAAGTCAAAGGGTCCCTATCTTAACCCTTATATCGACTTAATGACTTAAGGTCCCTAGATTCAAATATCACAGACCCCAGGACTCTCCTGTATTTTTGACACTGTATTGCAAAAGATCACACTCCAAATGACAACAGCAAACTTCCCAGTCAATTACAACTAAACGTTACATTCAATTGTTTCAAGTCTAAAATATGCAAGTGTTGACAGTGAGTGAGTGAGTGAGTTGGGTTTAACGCCGCTTTTAACAGTATTCCAGTTATATCATGGTGTGTCAGCTTAATGTGGGAGGAAAGCCCTGAGTGATGCAGGTCTCAGATGTTTACCACTTCCCTGAAACCCACGAGCACAGGTATGGTGCTGATAAACCTAGAAACATAATCGGGGCGAACTGGGATTCGATCTCACAATCATAGGTTTTTGGTGTGCCCAAGGTACGCAACTCTGCACAGCAAATCGCGGTGCCTTCGACGACTGGGCCACCTGTGCCCCCTCAAGTCTTGACAAGAACAGTCAAATGCTAAGTGTCTAACTCAACAACCATAAATTGTCATTATTGGAACACATCTTATCTCTTGACTTCTGGTGAAGTGGGCCCCAAAGGGCCCCGAAAAAAAGATTTTTACGTAATCATGAAAAACACAGAAAAGCTTGTCATTGTATTTATATATCTCATTTTATCTACTCATATTTAATCTCCAGGGTTTAACGAGATGAAGATGAAGAAGGTGTTTAGAATGGACGCAGAAAAAATGTATATTGCATCGTGAGGGACACACAATATTATTAAGAGTACCAAATTCTTGACAAGAAATATGAAGTTCTGGTAAGTAAAGGAATTATGACATCTTACAGTACAGTACACTTTACCGTTTCAATTCTTCACAGAACCCTCATACTTTCTGTAAGGACCCTTGAAATTAGTAATTGGCGGTCCTCTGGACCCCTAGTTTGGAAGGTCAATGTAAAACCCTGAATCTCTATGCTGCCACGCCTCCACACTAAATAAACAGATGTACTCAGCTTATCCCAAGATCACTGTCCTTTCCCACATTGCCTATCCATCCATGCATATCTTCCCACATTAACTAACAAATATTCATCATGATCATTAGGGGAAAGAAACACGCATAAAATGTTATGTTCATTGTTGATTTAGCAGGTACAGAGAAGATGGTTAAAAAATTCAGCAGATTGCCAAAGTGCAAAGGTCTAATCTGGGTCAATATTCAAACAATAGCAAACAACATTAATGAAAATCCCGACTAAATCCTACACATATTTTATATTTACTTTTTTTGCATAAATGCTGTGAGTGGGTTTATCAATATGGCCAACATGGTGGTCATGTTGAAAATGATTCAAACCTCAAATTCAGGTGTCATCATTGGTTGCAACAATCTGAGGCATGGATGGTGGACGTTGACTGTTTGTTTGTTTGTTGTTTAATGCAGCACTATTCCAGCTATATGATGGCAGTCTGTAAATAATCGAGTCTGGACCAGACAATCCAGTCATTGACATCATGAGCATCGATCCACGCAATTGGGGTGGATGACATGCATCAACCAAGTCAGCGAGCCTGACCACCCAATCCCGTTAGTCGCCTCTTACGACAAGCATAGTCGCCTTTTACGGCAAGTATGGGTTGCTGAAGAATTATTCTACCCCGGATCTTCACGGGTCGGCCATAGAATAAGATTTTTTACTAACCTGCAAGTAAACTTTCAAATTACGAGTCTCTACTGGCTATAAGATAAGCAAGCTAGGCTTGTAACTAAGAAGGTGAGGACCAAAAATAGGCACCGAACTCATATAGTGAGACAGGTATTAGTTTGATCCATAGCAGATTTAGAAGAAATATATATAAATGCAATAACATGCAAAGTAATGTCAGTATGATAGAAAATGAGCATTTTATCTGAGTGAGTGAGTGAGTCAGTCAGTCAGTAAATGGGTTGCTGTTGATACTTTTGACAGGACTGACCACCCAACTTACACTTACTACTGTCCCTCCAATGTATTAATATTACTTTTCTCCAAATTATTATACTACTGTCCTCTCAAAATATTGTACCACTTTCCATCGAACTGATAATACTACTGTTTCCCCAACTTAAAATACCACTGTTTGTCCAACTTATTATACAACTGTCCCCCAAACTTATATTACTGCCCCCCCCCACACAACTTATTTTACTACACTTCCCCCAAACTTTTTATACTACTGTCCCCCAAACTTATTATTATCATACTTTTGTCCCCAAAAATTATAATTATACTACTTTTCCCCAAAATTATTTGTATTACTGTCCCCCAAACTTATTTTACTACTGTCTACCCCTCCCAAAATATTTATTACAGTACTGTCCCCCCAAATTAATACACTGCTCTCTCTGGCGACGCTTCTGACCCTTAGCCTTCTACCTTGTGATTGTTAATCTGTTTCTGGTGGTGCTTGATCTCCTCGTCCAGATGGTCATGGAGGGCATTCAGCTGAGCAGCTTGCTGGCAGACAGCAGAGAAGACAAATTTACAAAACAACATCGACCTTGGATCAGGAAGGGAACCCTACTCAATACTGAGCCTGTCGGAATGCTTTCAGTCAGCATGGAGAAATAGCAAAAACTATTTACATAAATACTTTCCCTTTGCGGAAAATATGTGCTAATCTGTTCTTTCCATTACACGTGAAGACTGAAAGATTCCAAGAGACCGATTGAGTTGGATACAGTTCTACACATGCAGCAACGGGTCCATGCTAGGGAGGCAGAGAGAGAGTTAGAAGCAGCGACCAGCTATTTACATCAAGGCAATCAATCCACCTTCACAACTTGCACAGAACACTGTCAGAATAGGGTAACATCATACTTTCATCATTAACCAGAAAATCACAATTTCCACATTTGCTTTGTTTACCCTTTCAAAGATTGCTTGAACAAATATCAAAGGTTCAAAACCTATTTCTTTTGATATTAAATGAACCTGCAAGACAATGGCTCGTTGTCTCTAATGGCTGTGCCCCATGACAATGACTAGCTGCAAGTTGTTCAAGTTGTTGATCATGCCCTGCCCATGTGTTCTATGGTCAAACCTGGTGCATTTTCATTTGTTTGGAGTGAAATTTGATCTCATCCTCCATCATGTCCTTCATTTTGTCCAGCTGAACCTTTTGCTGCATGCAGGAGGGAGAAACAAACATTGTACACTGTATCCTTTAACATGATTACATTGTACATTGTATCCTTTAACATGATTACATACATGTAGTACATTGTATCCTTTAACATTAATACATTGTATCCTTTAACATAACATTGTACATTGTATCCTTTAACATTATAACACGCCCTGTCTCTACACCATGCATCCATGTGGTGGTTCAGGCAGCCCTGTCACAGCTGTATCATACATATTCCAGATCTCGTATCCTTTAACATTATAACAAGGCCTGTCTCTACACCATGCATACATGTGGTTGTTCAGGCAGTCGTGTCACAGCTATATCACAGATATATTTAAGCTGTATGATTATGTATCACAGGTACAGTATTTCCTGTAATAAGCCCCTTGGGTGCTTAGAAACTTGACAAACAGGGGTGCTTATTAATACCTAACAGTAAAATTTGTTTTCCCGCAGCAGTGATGTTTGTTAGTTGTTTAACACCTCACTTAGCAATATTCCAAATACAAGACTGCTGTCTGTAAACAGTCGAGTTTGGATCTCACAATCCAGTTATTGACATCATGAGCATAAATATATCAATTGGGATACGATGACATGCATCAACCAAGTCAATGAGCCTGACCACCTGATCCCATTAGTCGCCTCTTATGACAAGCATAGTTGCCTTTTATGACATGCATGGGTTGCTGAAGACCTATTATCTACCTGGATCTTCATTGGTTGAGCAGTAGTGAATATAAATCAATACTAGTTCCTGGGGATTCCTTTACACTGCTGTAATTTTAGTAAAAAATCTGAAATATATACAAGAAAAGTAAGGACTGTCAGGCAAATTTGGGGTGGGGGCACTTTAAACATCATTTACAGATTGGTCTGAAAGGTTGGACAGATATTGCTTATTGGAACAGCAATATCACATATGCATAACATCTTTATCACATATCATATATTATATCTACATCAGATACAATTATGACAGCAGCAACCATTGTGATACCAGCTGCCACTGTGACACCAGTTGTCATTGTGATACCGGTCGTCATTATAACAGCAGCAACCACTGTGATACCAGCTGCCATTGTGACACCAGTTGTCATTATGACAGCAGCTACCAGTGTGACACCAGTTGCCATTGTGACACCAGCTGCCATTGTGACACCAGTTGCCATTGTGATACCAGTTGTCATTATGACACCACCTGCCATTGTGATACAAGTTGTCATTATGACACCTCCTGCCACAGTATCACCAGCAACCACTTCAGTCAGCTCCAAGGACAAGCATTAAAAACTCAACTAGGGATCGGGTATCTACCAGAATCAAACAGGGTTTAGATTTGTTTTTTAAGTTGATGCTTCATGTGTGCTTCCAACAACTGGTTAAATGAAAACTCAAAATTCTGCAAGGTCTATCCTCATGAACTGGAGCTTATCTGCAGGGATGAAAAATCTAAGCTGCAGGGATGAAAGGTATAAGCTGCAGGGATGAAAAATATAAGCTGCAGAGCTATTCTCTGGAAGAGGAAAGACCTTTTTTAAACATTGTAAATACATAGCCAAACATTATTTTGTATTGAACACTGATATTGTGACACTGCTTAGATCCTAGCCATACCCCAGCATTATCAAACAAGTGTCACACAATGTCAACATGAGGCTAAATTATACATAGGTCACAGCGTATAGCAGTTCTTCCAAGGTATTTCACCCAACTAACCATACTGACAACACAGGCTCCCAATTTTATATCAAATACGTCTACAGGGCTCAATTTAAGGAACTGGATTTTACATGCACCAGGTGCATGACGACATGAAAACCTAGTTTAACCAGACAAAACCAGGTTGCACCCTGGTGCCATCAATTTATCAAAGTTGAAACATAGATGCATAAACTAGTCTTAAACCTTAGAGGTATTGGTGGTGTTCAAAGAAAAATGTTGTGTTGAAAAGTAAGGGTTAGTCAAACACAAATTTAAGATGTTTTTACATACATTTGGTGCATATACCCGGTAGAAATAAATATTTGGTTGCACTTTTCAATAATAGGTTGCACTGGTGCATGTTGTATACGGTTAAATCAAGCCCTGATCCACAAGAAACAATTTAACACAGACACTCTAAGGGTCTTTCATCCATATGTAGTCAAAATATTTATTTGTAATGATATGTCAATCCATCCCAGCCATCTACCTAACTGACGTATGAAGCCAACACAAATTGTACACATAACCATGGACGTGTGTCTCCTCACCAGTTTGCGGAAGTACTGCTCTTCCTGTGCTGCTTCCATCTTCCCGAAGCTTCCACCAGCGTCTCTGTAGACAAATAGTGCACATAGTGAGTGAGTATGGTTTTACGCCGCTTTTAGCAATATTCCAGCAATATCACGGCGGGGGACACCGGAAATGGGCTTCACACATTGTTCCCATGTCGGGAATCGAACCCGGGTCTTCGGCGTGACGAGCGAATGCTTTAACCACTAGGCTACCCGACCGCCCAGTTCACATAGTAAGGCTTGGAAAGAACTTACAAAATTATGACCATGCAATGGATGAGACACAAAACTTTTGGTTAAATTTTATAAACTGTTCAATTTACTTTTCCTTAAACTTGCTGTGAAGAACAAAAGGATAAAGTGAAAAAATAGGTTGCTGTGGTTACCTGACACTGCCGCCTGATCCACCTCCCTGAAACACATTTCCCTTTGTGCAAATAATTTGTATTGGAGACATAATGACAACGGCTCTTATAATTTGTACATAGATTTCATGAATAAAATCAGTGGCAAGGATATCTTTGGCTCGACAAGCGTCTTATTTCGAGACATTTTTGTCCATGGATCAAGTCTGAGATGCCAGAATGTTATTTTATGACATTAATCTAAACTCTGCAATGATAATGATAATGGGTCATGATATAATAGAAACTAACACCGGGTAACTCCTTTTTAGCATACTGACAATAGGATTACATACTAATCACTTTGTTCAATGAGTTGCATCAGATGACGACAACAGGGCAATTTTCCCATTGGGTCTAGGAACGACAGGAAATCTTTCCTGGACCCATACTAATAAATGGCTTCAGACATGGGTAACCATGGTTACACTCACCTTGCCTGCACCGGATCCCCATTCTCCGCTCATGTAGCGCACTCTGGAACATCACCACATAAATCAATCTATGATTTTAACATATTAAATCACAAATGAAGAAGTTATAGAACAAAAGAAACTACATTAACCCTGTTCACACTGTGAAATAAACATGGAATGTATGTCAATTAACTCCAAGTGAAAATGGCTGTTCAATATCTTGTTATTAACAATTTGACTATATCAGCCATCCTGTGAAGAGCCAAGTTGGAATTGTTTTTTAGCAACCCATGCTTGTTGTAACAGGCTAATAACAGGACCAGGTGGTCAGACTCACTGACTTAGTTTTTGCATGTCATTGTACTGCAATTGAGTAGATCTATGATCATGATATCAATCGCTGGATTGGATGGTCCAGACCCGATTATGTACAGACGTCATTTAGCTGCAAAATTGGAGCAAAGAAACCATATTAGCCACTGTCCGGGTATGCTGGTATCAGTGATGTTTAGTGTTGTTTACTAAAAGTAACAGGGATTATATGTACTGAACAAAAAAGTTAAGGGTCAGACGACAGTTACAAAACATAGAAAACACAGTTATAAGACATTTCTAATTGCAAATCCATTTGAAAAGGTTTTAATGTATCCTAAAACTTAGCATTGTGTGCAAAACCACAACGACCAGTGTTAGAAATTGGCACTAGTCCTATAGTCCTTGCCAAACTGCCCAATAGTTAAGGTATCATAAGGGTTTTGCTATATGTTATCATTATAAGGACTAGTGGTCTAAAACTACTTGTTTCTAACGCTGAATGACTGAGGATCTTTAGACAAATGACCAATTCAATCTAAAAAACAAGGGTCAACGAAACTGTGTGCATGGCCTGAATGCAGAGTTGGCCGATCATTGTGTTTGTTTTGTCAATGCACATCTGTGTTATCTGTGAGCAATAGGGGCATACAAATCGCTACCATGATCGTGTTGTTCTCACTTGAGATTTCATCATGGTCAGACGTCAACCAAGCAAGGTTGATAGAGGAAGAGCCATTACATGGCTGTAGGATTATTATTCCCAGAGGAATGTGGCCCAGAGAACTGGTTGTAGCCAAAGTGTGATTGGTAGACTATGGCAGCGATTCCAATCCACCAATTCCATTCAGAATCGTCCTCGCTCTGGTAGGCCAAGATCAACATCGTACCCATGGCATTACGTCAACGCACCGTCACAGATAGACATCTGAGAGATGAACTGTGACATGCAACTGGTATTGCGAGCCCACAATATTTGATCTCGGCAGCAAGCAGTTCGACCACCTCTTCTCCAACGTCAAAGGGCAGCACGCAGGGTCTGGTGCACATATCACAGAGCCTGGGCACGTCGTCAGTGGGGGGAGATACTCTTTACTGATGAATCCAGGTTTGCTTTACAATTCAACGATAGCAGAGTTCGCGTCTGATGACAGCCCAGAGAGAGATTTGCTGACATCCTGATCATTTTGGCAGTGGAACAGTGATGGTTTGGGGTGGAATTTCAATGCACCACAGAACTCCTCTTTACGTCGTCCAAGGAAATCTGACCGGTATCAGAGAGACAACATTTTACACCATTTTATTGTTCCCTCTCTTTGCCAAATTGGAACTGGTTCGATTCTTCAAGATGACAATGCTAGATCCCATCGTGCCAGGCTCGTGAATAATATTCTCAACCAAAATGGCATTCAACAAATGGATTAGCCTGCATACTCACCTGATTTGGCAATGACTGATCATGCATTGGACAACTTGGGCAGACAAGTGAGAGACAATCATTGGCAACCTGCTACCCTCAAAGAATTGGGCCGGTTCCTTCAAGCACAGTGGCAGGCTATTTCACAGACGGTTCTTTCTGTATCTGACCGACAGCATGAATCAACTGTTTACGAGTACGAGGTGAATTCACTTGGTTTTGACAAGGTGAACGATTGTAACAGAGTTCTGTTTGACCCCTCAATGCTGAAGTATTGTCTGAGACTTTCATGACGTGACTCGTGTATTGATTTGCATGCTTCTGGTACTCACATCTTATCAAACTGTATTACAATGAATTTAAGATATTTCTCTTTCTGTATTAAACCTAAATATCATCAATAAAGTTTGTGACCCTTAACTTGTTTTGAGTAGCATATAAGCCTGAAATTCTTCTTTTACTTAAGATATCTTTAACATAATACAAACTCAAGGTAGCACCGCTAGTGAAAAAAATTTTATCGATGGAACCTTACGCATGTGTCTACAATGTCCAGCAAAATGATTTGGGGAATAATTACCGAAAGTATGCTTAGTATCATATGACCATATGACTCTTCTTTGGAGAGAGAGAGAACAAGAATCCACGTGCAAAGACGTATGCATCTTTGCCCTGTGTTATGGGTTTTCGGACACTTAAGCAACATTTGTAGTCTTCTCGCTATTCACAATAACAACTGTAAAACATCTCACTCACTTATAAAAGACAACCTGATCTTAACAACAGGCAATCATCTGTGTATTTTAAATGTCGGAGTGACGTCAAAACCTGGTTATTGCGTGAGTAATCACTATAAACATGGACGTCCGAACAATACATGTTCCGACGATATCTTGTAGCCTTCCAGTCCTGTGAGTTGTGTCAGAGACCATATACCGGTATATGGTCTCTGGTTGTGTATTTTGATAAATTATACAAACAAATATATTTCGTGAAAAAGGGTGCAGAAAATTAATGGCGGAATTCTTTCAAACTCTTTTAATTTCACGGCTGCTCTGCTGCTCCAAGTTCGCGCACACCTAAATGAAGACATCCTGGCCAGACTGATGAAACTCATGCCAGTACTGAGCAGTGGGCTGTGGCCGTTGTGGCCGCGCCAGTGGTGCACCCGCAGCGAATAATACGAACATGAACTCAGATTCATGTAAGAAACTTTCACCAAAAAGAACGAGACCTGCTTTATTAGGAACAACTGACATGCACTGTCATGTCGAAACTGATGTCATTCTCACCCAAAAAGTCGCAATGTCCCTGGTAATCTTCGTGCAGCCATGTTGCAATCCAAGGTCACAAGTACAGGGGCAAGTAACTCTGACGTCGCCAAGCAATGCATACCGCTACTGTTTCCGTAACAACTTTCGATTTGACCAATGAAGGGAAATAATTATTGTCTAAACAAGTTAACTATGTGTGCCGATTGTCGTTTTTTTAAAGGAACAATATTTCGACGGTTGTGTTTTTAAATCATACATGAAATATTTTCCGAGTGAGACATGTCACATGACCGATTCAGTTCTCAAACCAAAACTATGAATAAGAGCTCCGCACACAGAAGCCGCGCCGCACCCCTACCCCTAATAGTGTGATATAAATTTTGGTGTCCACCCCGTCTTTCACTGTCATTGTGTTATGACCAGCCCAACCCTACCCACCCCACCACTATAATAAAAAATAAATGACTGACATTTAGTCCAAAAAATATCCTGGTTACCGTTGGTTTCTATTGTTTGTATGGGTCTTTTGCGTTAAAACAAATTGTCGTTTGCGCAATCAATACACCACATATCAATATGTGTATACATTCTTCATGAAAACAAATGATCTCCTGGAGTTGACAGAATTAATGTTTTTCAATAAGACAAGAAATGTGTGTGAAACTCGATTTTCAGCTTTATCATATTTCCATTCTAGTATTTCTCACAACCAAATAGAGAATTAATACACTGTGTTATCGAGTATGTTTAAAAAGACATTGCGGTTAGTTTTGTTCAATACTCCTGGGGCGGTGGTTAGCAAAGTGGTCAAAGCGTTCGCCCGTCACGCCGAAGACCCGGGTTCGATCTCCCACATGGGTACAATGTGTGAAGCCCGTTTCTGGTGTCCCCCGCCATGATATTGCTGGAATACTACTAAAAGCGGCGTAAAACCATACTCATTCACTCAATATTGCATTAACTGCGCATGCTTTTAACTGGGAATCGTGTTAAAACATGGGCCTGTCTGGAGCTCGGCATTAAGGGGATAACACAAGTATTAATCGGCTCAGAGTCAGTATAATACATGTCTGACTGGGGTATCCATGTTAAACTGCGACATATGGTATCTCAGTGGTCCTGCAAGCACTATAAAACTGGTGTTTGTCCGGACTTGAACAAGCGCATACGCACGCACGCACGCACGCACACACACACATGCACGTCACTATATAAGAGCAATAACCTTGAACTCGACGTTAAACCCCATTTCACCTCCCCTTATTCAGAAATCACATGCCTTGTGCCAGTGTACTCAGCTTCGATATTTAGACTGGTAAGGTGTCCATCATATTATTTATTCAGCCAATATTTTTTAAATGTTGATTATTCGCTGAAATTTTGAAATTTGGTGGATTAGCCTTTCGTGCAGATGGTTAAACCCTAGTCACACGAGAGGCGGAATGAGCCGGAATGCATTCGGGATGAAAATTCTTTGTTTATTCCTGGACATTCGAAGTGCATTCTAAAACTTCTGACTGCATTCTGAGTGCATTCCAAATATTCGGGCCCATTCTTGTGGCTGGCCCGAATGTTTTGCTTATGCTCAAAACTTTCGAGATACATTCGAAGTAGAAAAATATCGAACGACATTCGAAGTGTATTCTAACTGTACTCTGATGACATTCTAAATATTCTTACGGCATTCCAACAGCATTCGAAACATTCTGATCGCATTCGAGGGAGAATCGAAACGCAAAGCCACTTCAAATCCTGCCAGAATGTCCCGAATGCGCCTCGAATGGGCCGGATATTGCACCTTGAATGCATCTCGATTGCTGCCGGAATCTATTCGTGTTACACTCTAAGTACATTTGAAGTACATTCTTAGTATTCGAGATGCACTCTGTTTGAATTCTTGGACGTTCGAACCATATTCGGCGGCCATTCGGGGAGCGTTCTGACTGCATTCGAGGTGAATTCGTACAGCATTCGAGGCACCTTCCAACCAGACTTCGGGCGGTATATTCGGGCAGCAATCGAACCGCACTCGTATGGCATTCGAAGTGCATTCTAAATATTCTGACTGCATTCTAAATATTCCTACTGTGTTTCAACTACATTCGAGCTGCATTCGAGAGCTAACATACCGGAATGTGCAAGAATCATTCGAGGCGGGTTCGAAGCGCATTAAATTCTAAGTATTCGAACGACATTAATTCTTACAAAGATTGGTTAATTTGAAATTCCCTCCCGAATGTGGCACGAATTTTGAAAATTCTTCAATCCGGCTGGTTCTGTTTGATTCCTGCTGATTCCGAATAAGTGTGACAGGGGCTTTAACTATCACACCTGTCATTGGATTTCATGCTCACTCACAAAGAGACGAATAGAAACATTGTGTTTTATATTGTTTTAACGATTGTTCTTCAGGTCTTTGCTACCCACCAGCTCGCTAAACAGAAATGAGAAGTGCATGTATATCTGCAAAGGGTAGATTCTATATGAGATTATTAAAAACATGCGACATTATTTTTCAATATGTTAGGCCTACTATAGGTTACATAATAGATCTATATCAGATCCGTGATGTTTAGCCATCCGATGACGTTGACAGGAAGTGACTGAATTACGTAAGGGTTCTAGAAGCAAATAATATTCTTTGTCCAGTCACGATGACATGAGCTTTAAACCGGATTCTCGGAAACGAGCACTTTCGCGGAAACGACAATCGATGAATAAAGCCTGCCGTAAATCATTAACCGGTTTGTTCCTTCTCAAACCGGAATGTCATTCTGGAATGTGAACGAGAAGCCATCGACGTTGTTATTTGCAATAAAATTGTTTTTTCGAACCTGGGGTTAATCCAATTGCTGAGTAATGGGGATACGAAACGCATATTTACGTATACAAATCGTAAAATGTATTCGTGCAAACCGTAAACAAGAAGTTGGAAGGCATTTAAGAATAAAATAACTCAAACCAGAATACATAGTCAGGTGAAGGTCGGAACGAGACGGAAGCTTAGATCCGGGTTCACAAAAGTAAGTTCCGCTATATAACTGAGCTTCTGCACTACAGACATAACAGAACGCAGAACATTTGAGGAAATCACATTCTGACACAAGGTAGGTAAACAATGGTTTATTTATGATTTTTACATTTCTTCTTCTTGTCATCTTACAAATACAGAACGAATTTAATGTTCCTACTTACGTTCAGAAGATAAAGAACACATGCAGGACCAACAGTTCCATTACAGCTAGACTGACGATGACTTACGACCAGTGATGTGGCAGGCTGTCACACTGTTATTAATTGCTGGAATCAGTGAGAATGTGCCCTCCACCTCGGCGATTTGTTTCTTAAGCGTTGGCCGAGTGCATGGGTGAGTGAGTGAGTGAGGGGTGAGTGAACGAGCGAACGAGTTGATGAGTGTTTGTTTGGTTGCTGTTAACGCTGCACTCAGCAATATTCCAGCTATATGACGGCGGTCTGTAAGTAATCGAGCCTGGACCAGACAATCCAGCGATTGACAACATGAGCATCGATCCAGAGCTAACTTGCCTCGGGAAGATTTTCTCTTGAGAAACCACTTGATTAATGAAGCTGAAACTTCACCTGCTTGTTTCCACCAATGATCAGTCATTTCTGCTCAAAATGTACTGTAATGCTCTTATTAAGTTCTCTCAAGATACTTATTTGGCTCTGTAAACATTTTCTCTGCAATTGCTAGACTGACAAATCTTATTTAACTGTTTTTTCGTTAAACAGTTGGATAAATAGCTAGGAATTAGAAAACATTTAGTTACTTTTTAAAAAATTGTTAATACGTTTGTCCTCAGTGTTCATGAAGAACTTATCTGAATAGCATGCTGACAACAGCTTTTGTAATGTGGTTATCTTTGTTGATATTTCAAACGTTTGACTATAAATCCAGGTGAACTAGAGTGCAGTGGCACTATCTTTTATCTCCATAATTATGTGTCTTTCAGAATATCAGCACAATGGCGCTCATGGAGGATACCCTGAGGAAGCCGACAGACCCACTGCAGGAGGGTCTTGAACTACGCATGTATAGCATGCGCATGTGTCCGTATGCACAGGTACACAATTCATGTTTTATTACTTGGTTATAAATTACCCTACCCTAAAATACAGGAATGTGAAAAAAAGTTTAAAATTATAGTTTTTTTGGTTTTTTATTCCCACCTAGTCTTATAATCACACTTCCGTTAAAACATCCCAAGTTGACTCTCTTCCTGAACCAGAGAAGTGATACATGATCAATGGTCCATAAATGTTTGGTCAAACCGTGAGATGTAATCTCAATGAACACAATGTACTCCAAGTAGTCTGTGGATTTATTCCCATCAAAGTGCTACACAAATTACAGAATACCTGCAATAGTCATCTTCCCGAGGCAAGGGAGTTATCTGAATCTAAAAGTCCAGTTTCCACCCTTGCTGAACTAGGCTGGAATTTCTGGGCTCAACCATAGCGCCACCAGTGGCTATTACGAATTATGTCCCTTCTATGACCTTCTTGTTGACCAATAAGATTCCACCTCTCATATTGCTTGCATTTGCTTCAAACAAAATTGTGGCGTCCAGTCAAGACGACCTGATCGATGTTCAAGATACTTACTGTAATAAAATTAGTCTTACCTTGCAAAGTGCATCAAATCACAAGAAGATTTGGAAACTATATGTCATCAACCAGTTGATGGTACACATCAATTGCAAATCTTGCAGTTGATCTAAATCTGCACGTTGAAATCCATGTTGTTTACGAACTAGATGTCCATAATGTTACACGATTTTGATTGGGCTTTGCATAGACTTAAAATTGTTAGTACAGCCAAAAAATATCTCCATAATTGCAGCCTAGTTCGGCAAGGGTGGAAACTGGACTTACACAGTTAGTTAACTCCCTTGCTTCGGGAAGATGGCAATAGTTTGCTCCCAACATGATGCTAAGCTTCCTTTCAGGTTGCGTTCTTGTTCTTGTTCTTGATAACTGTGTAAATACATGTCTTCCATCTCCACATGCAGCGCGCCCGGCTGATACTGGCAGCGAAGGGAGTGAAGTACAACTGCATCAACATCGACCTGAACAACAAGCCAGATTGGTTCTTCGACATCAACCCCTATGGCGAGGTGCCAGTTGTCATCCACAATGGCAGCAATGTGTACGAATCACTGATATGTGCAGGTATGATCTTGTGTGAATAGAAAGATCTGCAATCTCATTAAAATCAGATCTTAGTTCTCGTTATCGCTAAACAAAGAGATGAGGACATCCCATTATGGGTCATGTCAAAACGACTTTGATTGGTTGGATGAAAGGACGTTCTGACGTGACCCGGAATGGGATGTCCTCAGATCTTTGTATAGCAGCAGCGAGAACTCAGATCTGATTTTAATGAGATTGGAGAGATCTGCGACTTACTGTCATATTTCTTCATACTTCAAAATCACAATTGGATGGCAGGGAGTTACTCAATCAAACAACAATATAATGTGTATATATAAATGCTGTACCTGCTGAGATGAATAAAGAGGGGAAAATAATTAAAAAAATATATATATAATGTGCTACCTGGCTAATTTCAGTTGCCCAGAGACCATAGATCAGTTCTACCAGTGGTTTCTTTTTAAATAAATGACAGGCCATTGTCATATTGCCCCTGGTCAAGCATGAGCTAGCACGAGCAACATTTTTGTCAGCCACTGCGACAAACTTGGGGTTCTGGAGATCTAATTTAAACCCTTCAGTTTGCAAAAAAGAGTCAAATATGTAATATTAGATATTAAATTTCAATTTTTCTGTTTTACGGAGTAATATTTTCTTCATATATGCAAGAAATAACCTCAAATTTTTGAAACCATATCATTTTCTGTAATTTCTTTCTGAAGAGTACCTAGAGGAGTCCTTCTCTACACCTACCCTTTACAGTTCGGACCCAGTGAAGCGTGCCTGGGAGAAGATATACTTCAACCACTGGACCAAGAAGGTATGAAGTCATTGAACAATACTACTCAATGTTTAACAGGGATACTATCATATTGGTGGGTGACTGATTGCCTGGGGATGTTGTCATACAAATAGTATTCCTGTGAATGATTGCCTGGAGATAGTATTCAATATTGCAACTGAGCATGAAACAAAAAGTCACATTTTTCTAAATTGTCTTGGTGTCCCAATGAAAGGCAAAGTTGTATGTGTCCTGTTTAACTCAATAAGTCAGTGTCCATTAACAGTTTCCTTAAAAGTGTTTTATACATAAATGGATGGTTTTGGAGACACACACAGGCTACTTTGGATCTACATATGTTCCCTGTTGTGGGGGGCACCGGTGGCCCAGTTGTCGAAGGCGCCGCGATTCGCTGTGCAGAGTTGCGTCCCTTGGGCACACCAGAAACTTATGATTGTAGGGTTGATTGTAGGCCCCAATTATGTTTCTAGGTTTGTCAGCACCATAACCGTTCTTTATGGTTTCAACGAAGTGGTAAGCGCCTGAGACCTGCATCACTTCGGGCTTTCTTCCCACATTAAGCTGATACTCCGTGATATAACTGGAATACTGTTAAAAGCGGCGTTAAACCCAACTCACTCACTCACTCCCTCCCTGTAGTGAGTGAGTAATGATGGTTTTACACTGCTTTTAGCACTTTTCCAACAATGTCAGGGCAAGGAACCCCAGAATGGTCTTCATGCATTGTACTCATGTGGCGAATGGAACCCAGGCCTTCGGTGTCACAAGCAAGCGCTTTAACCACTGTGTTACTTCTTGACCCTGGTGTAGTGGGCATGACTTTTGTATGTTTACATATTCCGGTATATTGTACAGGGTATCCCAGCCTTCTACAGCCTACTGAAAGCCGGCCATCTGGACCCGGAACTGACAAACAGGCTGAACGAACATGTGTCAACTATGGATCAATACTTGAAGAAAGCTGACACTCCCTATTTCCATGGCAAAACACCTGGTTTCCCGGACTACATGATCTGGCCTTGGTTTGAGAGGATCCCCATGATGGGTGAAATAACTGGTAAGGATGACAGTTAGTGATTGGTCAACTTGTTGGTTTGCTACCCGGGTACCCACTATCTGTCTCAAGAGATGGGTACAAACGGTCCCATTGGGAACTGTATTTAAAAACATGTATGCAATGATCTGGTCATGCATTCAATGCAGTTGGCTGAACCTTTATCTTTATTCAAACATATTAAAGTCAGTTATCCAATTAAACAGTTGTTTCCAAATATCTTGTGTTTTTTTGCATACACAAGTAATTTCATGCTTTAATCACAAAAACATTTCAAAGTATCTACCTTATGTTCCAGCTTGGTTTATATGGCTGATGAACGTGTACGCCTAACCATACACCTTAGTTGGTGTGCAATTACAAATATTTCAGGGAGTGAGTGAGTTTGGATTAATGCTGCTTCAAACAGTATTACAGTTATGTCACTGTATCAGCATGAAAACCTAAAGTAAAGTTTACCACTGTGATGAAACCCATGAGCACAGGTGTGGTGCTGACAAACCTAGAAACATGATCAAGCCCCATCTGGGATTCAAACCAGTGATCACGGGTTTCTGGCACACTAAAGGGATGCAACTCTGTCCAGCCTTTGATGACTGGGCCACCTGTGTGCCCTCATTGATGTCTCAACATGGCACAGCTGTGTATTGTGAGTTCCAGTATTTTCTCCATGATGTGATGGTGGCAATGGTTCTCTTTCCAGGCTACAAGACAGATGAGACCAAGTACCCTGCCATCACTGCCTGGGTGGCCCGGATGTGGAAGGACCCGGTTGTGCAGGAATGTAAGATTGACAGTCGACTCTTTGTGGAGCATTATGGCAAGTACAGAACAGGCAGACCTGACTTCACCATCGGAGCAGACGCCAAACGGGCACCGGTTGCAGAGGCACTTGAGAACCTGGATGGTCTCCGTGATCCTAAAACAAGATTCAAGCAGACATGATGACATCAACCAGTTGTGTTGGGTGGTCTCTGGAAGGTTTAAGCGAGATTCAAACAGACACTGTTTCAAGCAGACAAAACTTCTATTCTTGAAAACAAGGATATGCTGTTATCATCTGTGTATTATCTAACTTTATCATTTTATTTCACAAATCCATCCATATTTCTGAAATTGGTGGGAAAAAATGTTTACAATTGAAGACTGTTGTTGTATGTTGAGCACTTTTTACTGTCCCTCTGCATAATGTGTTTGATGCACTCACTATGTGTGCTGACCACATGACCCAAAACACCAAAGACTAACCATGTATTCTCGTCAGCAACCTGTCTTATTTACCATGCTTGAGTCATGTACATGCATGCTTCAGTCGAGGCCTATTGTGAATATTTAATGGAATATTAGACAGCATGTTAACCTGACTTATCTCCCCAGTCTCACGACTGCTCGAGCCCCAATGGATGGTGTCACTTCAGTCCAATGTTTGACTTCCTTTCCGACACAAGTTTCATTACTTTTTGTTGCCACATTGTTGCAACCCATTTCTTGACCCAAGTACTGCTCCATCTGTTTCTGGAGATTACTGTGATTGTAGATCAATGTAGGCTTGTGTGACTGGTGTTGTGAGTCAGGCAGGTTCTACACCATTGATGCATTACACAGGAAGATCGATCTTCACTGGTACTGAAAAATAATATCAAGTTAATCCGTTCTTCATGTACATGAAAGTGTTAAACCTGCCATGGATATTTGGTGCATATTGGGACACTGTTTTGTTTATGTTTATGTATTGTTGTTTTCTTGATAAATAAATGTCACGTGCCAACACCTGATGTCATTGTCGATCATATTATGAAGGGTGAGGCATGCATGATTTGTTATTCAAATGCGGTCCAGTTCGAATATTGTGGTAACACATCATTGACCAATCTGGTTCGAAACCACAAACTGTGGTCTGGACAGTGGTGGCTTTAGATCATCTCTATAAGGTTTAGACGGTTGAAAATGGAGGATCAAATGAACTTAATTAAAGGTTAATTGTACAAAGCATCATCTATCTTTGGGATGGTCATTAAAGGATTGAAAAGTTTACGATAAATTGTATATTTATATACTTTTCCGATGTCACACTATGCATTTCTTCATTCTTCTTTCGATCCTGGTGTTGAAAAGTCCGAAAACAAAGTTTCCAGCTTCTAAATACATTTTGGCCGAAAACCATTCGCCTCAGCATCGCCATCACCCAAACATGGGTCACGCACTGTAATCCAGTGCGACCTGACCTTAGCGGCTTATCACCTGACACCCTATACCACATCTTTCTCTTTCTTAGAGCTGACAGGCGAAGTGCAATTGTGATGCGGGATGGTCGGTTTGGCATATAGCGGGTGGGATTGGATAAGTATATAAACATACAATTTAAGGTAAAATTTTCAAAATTTTAACTCATCCTATCTCACAATATGCATTTTATCCCATGGTTGGACGGTGGATTGCAGATACCCTAGCCTGTAGTGGACTAAAACCATGAGATATACACGAGGAAGCTGGTGCTAAACCATGCTAACACTAATCGATTGTTGCACAGTTTAGTGTCTAAACGACATGGACTCCTTGAGTGGGTAGATTACTGTTATAAGTGAGAGAAACTTCACTATGACAAAATCATGAAAGCGGGTAGATCATGTGTTATGTGTCTTCACATAGGACATCATTTCAAGAACGAAAGATCTTCGAAGCAGGGAACCTATTCACCCACAACTAATAACTACTCCGCAAGGGGTCTCCAGACAATTAGTTCTACAAGACAAACCACCACATTCGCTCTAAGACAAGGCTGATAAGCTTGGCAAAGGTATAAACCACAGAGCATTATTGAAGCAAGCTTAGACGAGTAGTTGGGATCAACAACATCTGTAAGAGGCTCTTTAAACCAATACAAAGACATCACATGCTCAAGCCAATGGTTACTCAGTCTGGGAACGTGTGTGATACTGATAGGAAACAAAGGAATGGGGTTCTAACATTTATTCAGTATGTACAGGATACGAAGTACGAGTCTGTGGCAACAGGTGGGAGTATCGTCCATCTGCATTGAGGAGTTGTCGTTAACTGTTGTGCCAGGACCAACAGACCAAATAGGTGGCCTTGGACATGGGTGGCGGAGATGTCACGTAGATAATGGGAAGCATGATGTCACCACCCTGACAAGATCCCTCCAAGGCTTTCCATTTGTGATCACCTTTGTGGAGGTGCAATGAGCTTCAGTGATGGTCTTGACGACTCTTCTCGAATAACCCTTGGCAACCAGAGACTCCTGGAGATAAACCAGATGCAGAGATGGAGGATTTTTGGTGACAGGTGCAGGAGGTGGGATTGAGGCTGTAGAAGGTCCCTTCAGAATGGTAGGAGATGGTACCTTCCATTTACGGAGACTATCGTGAAATGAGGAGGGGATAGCCTGTCATTCTGACGACGGAAGGCGGCGAAGGCTTCATCCAATTTCTTGGTAATATCAGTCATGATAAGACTGCGGCAGTAGTGTAATGGAGGAGGAAGCAATGTAGGAAACCACAAACCCCGCGAGGTGGTCATCACTGGAGCGACTGCGTTTTAAGTTGAGCTTGTCAGTGATCCAAGGGAGGCCAGTAGCTGGATCTACATGGCTGGAACTGCCTGTATAGGAAAGGGGTGAAGCTTGACTGTCAGTAGCAGTTTCTTGAAAGAAGATGACCATGGTCTGCATCCCATGACTTGGATCTTCCATCGACAGAGTTTTTCTGACTGTTAAGGCAAATATTTGTTGAAGTCTCTGAGAGACGTGCACACTGGGAACAGCGCACTCCACGGCAGTCGGAACAAAGATCATGTGGATCTAAAGGCGTAAATCTGTGGCGACACTCTTGACAAGCTGGGCGTTTATTCTTATCAGTCCCCATGGCATAGATCAATTCTCTGCTATTCAAACACGTCTCCACACGTTAGCAATGAGAATGTGCGAGATGTAGCATGGGGAGTCAGGTGATCAAGCTGCTTAGGTCAGGTCACAAGGGATCGCAGTGCGTGACCCATTTGTTTGGGTGGTGACTAAGGTGATGCGAGAGTTCTTTTTAGGACGTTTCCACACCAGGATCAAAAGAAGGAAGAAATGCCTATGTGTGGGATAGGATAAGTGTAGAAATGATTTCTTTATGACCTTTATAATCCAACATGGCTTAATGGTTTCATTCGCCCTCAATGATTCTCACTGTTCTATGAACAGGGATCAGTGAGTGAGTATGGTTTTACGCCGCTTTTAGCAATATTCCTGCAATATCACTGCAGGGGACACCAGAAATGGGCTTCAAACAGTGTACCCATGTCGGTAATCGAACCCAGGTCTTCAGCGTGACGAGCGAACGCTTTAACCACTAGGCTACCCGACCGCCCCCATACAGGGATCAAGGTGAGTGACTTGGGTTTTCACTGTCGATTTGAAGACCTGTGAAGATCTGGGTTAGCATTGGTCTTCAGCAACCCATGCTTCCTATAAAAGGCTATACTATGCTATCCTATTCTATGCTTGTCGTAAGAGACAACTAAAAGGATCTGGTGGTCAGGCCTGCCAAAATGCATAGATTGATGCTCATACTGTCAATCACTGGACTGTCTGGTCCAGACTCGATTATTTACAGACCGCCATCATATAGCTGGAATATTTCTGAGTGAGGCAACAAAAAAAAGTGCATTAATAATGTGCCAAATTCCATTCACCAAATGGATACCCAAGTCACTGGGCAGTGTGCACTCGCTTTATATTTTCAGCTCCCTGAGGAGAATACAACACAAGCTGCCTGTGAGGGGCTAGAAGTTAACAGTCATATGAGCATCTCATCCTACTGGGTACCCATTCACTGCTGGGTGAACAGAGGCATATTATGAGCAAAGTCACTTGCCTAAGGAGACACATGTGGTACATGTGCTTCAGGGTGGGGCAGGACCGAACATACCCGAAGCCCTAGAAATACTCAGAAGTAGCTGCCGAATGCGTTCACGCATCCAAGGACTCTCCGCGATCAACGTTGCTTAACTTCACCTGACTTGTGACCTGTGGGCTGTACTCAGGACCATGTGACTTACCCACAAGTGCGGATGTTCTGCTAACAAACTTGGGCCAGCGTGTACTATTTCCCTGATGATTGCAGTGCTCCAACTTGACATACTCCAAGATTTACTATAGCGAGTTGAGCTCGTACGGTTTCATCAATACAAACACAGCAAGAGAAATTTAATGTCAGGTTTAATGTTCAACTTTATATTGTACAAAATTCACACATGACTGCGTGGGCGATGGCAGCAGATGTACAGCAGCAGAAGGAGGGAGGGAGGGAGGGAGGAGGCGCTGGTACTAACACAAGGCAGGACAGGAAGTAACCCACAGCCCATACAGAGAAGGCTCTTCCTGGACACACCCTCAAACCATGGACTTTCTCGCACCTTAAAGCCTAAATCAATTCAATCTTTTTCAATAGTTAGTTTTTACCATTGATTAACATGGGACCACACTCAATTCTCATTGAGAATAATAGTTCTATTCATACCAAAAAGACACACTAAGAATATGTCCAAGGTTTGAGAGGATTTGTACCAAGAGTCGATTGCAAGTCAGTTTCTATAGTTACATTGTTATCATCCTACAACCTACAACATATCTCCTGCTTAATGATTAAGATATTTACAATGTTGAGAACAATCGATGGCAAAGTAACATGTGTCTATGTGACAGAGAATGAATCTTGAGGTGAATCTCAACTTATTCTACACTGACTGACATACTTGAGTAGCAGGAGTGATGGTTAGTTACAGCATATACAGGCCTAAACAAGCAGAACCCATTGAACTTGGCATCATCTAAAACAATGTAAAACCGGACCAATTTCTTTCCTCGTTTTACGGAGTGTCCTTGTCACATGAAGCAGCAAAATATGAAATTAAAAACGTCTTCAAGAATTGATGGAGGTTCATTTACCAAATATCTTAAAATATAAGATTTAACAAAACAAAATGTATACTTTCAATCATACCAATTTGTTTTTATAGAAAATTTAGGCAAGGCACACCCGTAAAACAAGAAATAATATTGATCTGGCCTAATGACATTATCTTGAAATGGAAAAACAAGGCTTGACGAGAGGTTCCATGAAATCAGTGTCAAGTAACCAATGCATTCATATCAGCACAGTTAAACAGTGTCCATACACAAACAGTCAAGCGGAACGACCCTACAAAGCATTAGGACACGAACGTATCTAATCTAAAATTGATGGAACTACTAACATGGCCATCTTATTCAAAGACTGACAGTGTGAATGCAAAGAGAAAACTTTAACGGATCATTCAAACATGTCTCATGAAGAGCTCAACTTTATGTAATGGAAGTAAATCATGGTTCTCGTTACAAAATTATTTTACATCTCATAAATGACATGATTGACAAAAACTAAAGACTAGATGTCATGTCATATAAAACAACAATATCAAAATACATTTGCTGCAGTGAAGTAAATATCCTTGAATATTATCATACCTTTCTTCCTAATGAACATGAAATTCAGTCAAGCAAACATTCAAGACAGTTGTTTGAATGGGGAAAATAGAGCTATATAACCATGATAACAACTTATTGACTGAATCCTATTTCTAAATCTTCATGAGTTGTATGCATACAACTCAACAATGAATCATATTTCCTTGAAACAATGAACAATATGTATAATGGAAATATGACAACAAATCATCTCATGAGTTAAGAATATGACAAAATATCCAGGAAAATAATGTATGGGTTTCACATGTACATAAACAACAATCACCATACATCTCTCAACATCGTGCATCGTGGCGCATGAAACAACACATGTGGAGCTTGTACGCATTCAGAAACACATTTCCCGGGTGCCATGTTTTTTCAACATTCATTAAGTCTGAGGATAGTATGGCCCCATCATATGTGAAAACATTCATCAGTTGTTAAGCCATACCTCGTGGAGGTCACTTTCTTCAGCATAGAATCCTAGGATCAAGAAGATCAAGTTTTGGTTGCTTCCATTTGGCCACAAAATGCCGAAAAAAATTCCAACAATTGTATCAGGATGGATAATGAAAGCCTTAATGTACAGCTAGCAATTCACGATTGAGACACTGTAAGATAACCATACACCACACAAGACCAAAGCATCTGACAAATGGACCTCTGGCAGTTATTTCCAGCATCTGCAGCCCTATCCCTGACACCCAAGATTTTTCCTCCATACACCTCTGAGAAATCACTGATAGTGTTGGTAACTTTCCAAAACAAAACTTCGCAGGCTGGTGTCCATTGTTTATTGGATGTTTCTATGTCACTATAATACAACTAAATCCCAGTTTGTCCACAGCTTATTTTCACAACAGTTTGTCCATTTGAAAAATTACTAATGGGAATATAAGGGGAGAAAACAAGTAGATTTCAGTATTCTAGGTACCACTGTCCTACTCTGCTTTCCAGGGATTATGTGGCAGCATATGAAAAAAAACAACCCTGGGTGTCGAGGATGATACAATTATTTTCCCATATTGCTATTACATATTTGATCAATAAATGAAAAAATTAATTAAATTTATGTATGGAGAAGGAAGATCATTAAGAAGATCCAGTGTTTCATCAACACACAAACATCTTGAGACCTTAAGTGCTCCTACAGAATCTGTACAATAACACAATCACAGCGAGACCATGAACACCAGGCTTGAATCAATCAGTGGAAGGACAAGCATGGAAACATTGCTTGATGGGTGCTACTTGACCAGATATTGTATACATTGAAGTGTTTCAAATCAATCACAAAATTCACTATATGATCATCAGATCTCTGTAATGACAAATATGCTGATACAATGATACACCTGCACAGTTGTACATGTTTAGGTCAACTGGCAAGTTCAATATAACTGCTGATACTAGTAGTTTGATTAAACACTCATTATTAGCCAGTCTAGATATATCAGATAGAGTAGTTAGCTCCTGTGTGGAAAGGAGGCAATTAGGCCAGACCAATTATTGTTTTATATTACGGATTCTTTGGACCAAAGTGGTTGTAAAGAAGTGTGGGGGGGGAATAGACAAGAAACAACCCGATAAATGATAAACATTTCCTGACCAGAGCATGTGACCATGACATTTAATGCCAAAACCGTGCGGGAAATGGCAAAAATAACCAATTCTCAGACTCCAACCAGGTTGACTTGATGCCATTTTCAGTTATGCACAAAAGAAAGTAATCAGCAAGACCTGATTTGATCAGCAGGGACAGAGCAGTCGTCCAATGAAATTTCCACTTCTACAGATGGCAACTGTGGAAGAGTTACTTCCCCTCTATTGGGAAATCGATATATATTTTAGTTTTGTCTGCAACTTATTAAAAGAAAATAAATACAATTTTTTTTTTTAATTTTATTTTAAATCAGTTCAGTGGGTCCATAATACACAGAAAAAACACAATGGTCTGGCCTAATTATGTAGTCAGAGCAAGCAGTTATTGTTAGTTTGATGGAAATAATACAACTTAGTGGATGTGAGAATTTTAATGATTCAAACCTACTCAACCAATTCTGTTTTGTTTCCTGAGGGTCATTAAAGTTGTCATGGAAACAGAAGAAGTTTTCAATGGTGTTCCTGATAGGCAGTGGAGGTACAACTTACTTGAGCTCTGACTGTTGAGTTTACTTGCTAGTGTTGTCAATGCGATGCCAGCCAGTTACTCCAAGTGAAAACAACTACAAATGTATGCTACACTGTGATGAGAGACCTTTGTGAAGCTGACTGTACTGTTTATATCAGATGAGGCCAATGTTTTGTGCTTACAATACAGAACAGATGGAAGCATTCACCCAAAACCACTTTGCAGATTAACATTTAGACATGACAAATCTCCACCATTTAAAAATAAAATACCGTCAGTCATTGACTTGCGTGTAATTGGTAATTGGCCAAGAGTCAGAGAATGAGAAGGTACCCTAACAACAGAAAGAAACAAGGCTTTACATGGGCTTACATCTCACCAGTTTCAAATAGGTAAAATGAAGAAAAGAGCGGGATGTCTGACTTGTCAACCAATTATCAACAACACAGCACATCAGCCAATTACAGTCCTTTCTTGGACTTAGAGCGGTTGCGCACTGATCCATTTTCTGTGGCATTGTTCTGGTCAACCTCTGGCAGGGCACTGAAATCCTCGTCAAGAGCTGAAACAACAAACAGAAAATATTTTCAAAGGTTACAAAATACACCCTAAATCATTCAAGAATTTTATTTTATGCAAACCAAAACGAAACTGTTTATTAGACCACTTCAATTTTTTAAATGTTTAGGTGAGGGACATTAAACACCATTCTGAAAGTATCTTTATTGTCATCTCATGGTTAATTTGATATGACAATCGATCAGAGTTAACTAGCTGGCTGCTTTTGACAGAGGGCCCTATAGCCATTAGCACTGGTTATCATGAGTATGTACACTAACAATTGAGATGACCAATCAACTAAGTATTCATCATAATCAGAATTCATATGACATACCGTATTCGACGTAATAAGCGCCCTGCTCTAAAAAAGCGCCCACGGCAATATTTGTTAATATATTGGCTAGTGAACAATCTCAATTAGCACTCATTCCAATTGATTAATGTACACAAGACTTATTTATTTGAGTATAATACGCACTAGTATGTTATATGCACCCTTAATTATGGGTAATTAAATTCTGAAAAAATATATCTGTCGTATATAAACATTTCAGGCTGTCAGCATAAACCACGAAATTTACGATCTTTCAACTCAAAATAATATTCTAATAAGAGCCCCCTATTTCTAATGTTGAGAGCGCCCTGGGCGCTTATTACGTCGAATACGGTAATGTATTTGACACACCATCCATGTCCTCCTAAGTTGACTTGGACGACAAACATGGGACAGTGGTTCGTTCCCCCTAAGGTTTGTTTGCATTCACATCCAGTACACATACAGCACATCATTTGGGGTTTGGGGAATACACAAACAACAAAACTTTGGTGTTAATTGGAATATATATTCCAGTAGTCTCTAAGTAATTTCATACTTTTCATCACAAAAACATTTCAAAGCACATTTTCAAGACATCAAATATGATCTTTTCTCCTTATGTTCCGTCTTAAATTATATGGCTGATGAAATTGTAGGACTAACCATACACCATAGTGGGTGTGCAATTACAAATATTTCAGGGAGTGGGTGCGTTTGGATTAATGCTGCTTCAAACAGTATTTCAGTTATGTCACTGCATCAGCATGAAAACCTAAAGTAATGTTAACCACCGTGATAAAAACCCACGAGCAAGGGTATGGGGCTGAAAAACCTAGAAACATGATCAGGATTCGAACCACACGATCATTAGTTTCTGGCGTGCCCAAGGGACGCAACTCTGTACAGCGAACTGTGGCGCCTTAGACAGCTGTGCTGCGCATGGCCCCATTTACACCGAAGAACAATTTATGAAATCAGAATTTCACTGTACCTTTAACCTTCTTCTTGCTTGGGGACCTCGTCTTCTTGGCAGCGGCACTCTTTTCTCGCAGCTTGCGGAGGTGGAAGGTGATGAAGTTCCACATCATCCAGGCCTGCAGTATGCACACGGCTGCCAGACAGTTGATCCTGAACACATTAGAATAGTATGACACCCTATCACAATGAAACTAATACCAATCATGTCAGCGAAAAAAATCCTATAAATGTACCTTCGAGTTTTATAAATACCACAATTTGTTATATTGCTTTGACACTGAGTGAGTGATTTGGCTTAATGCTGCTTTGAACAGTATTTCAGTCATATTATGGCGTCGCACTTGATGTGGAAAGACAGTGACACAGGACTTTGACATTTACAACTTTTGTTTAACATGATAGACCCAGAACATGGGTGGGATGCTGACAAATCAAGAAATATAATCAGAGCAACTGGGATTTGAGTGAGTGAGTGAGTATGGTTTTACGCCGCTTTTAGCAATATTCCAGGAATATCACGGCGGGGGACACCAGAAATGGGCTTCACACATTGTACCCATGTCGGGAATCGAACCCGGGTCTTCGGCGTGACGAGCGAACGCTTTAACCACTAGGCTACCCGACCGCCCCAACTGGGATTTGAAGAACACACAAGCAGCACAAGCAACACCTGATCTTTTTGTTATAGTGCTCTCTTACAAAAAACATGGAGTACTGGTGTTTTATTCTGCCCTGGATTCTCCACAAGGAGACATGATATAGCTCTGGACATTAAACTACAAATATAGATCTCTGATAAATGTGGGCATGTTAGACGTTGAAGATAATGTACCTGATTATTTTAGTATTAAAGTTTCCATTTGCAGCATCCAGTGTGTCCTGGCTACTCTGCTCCAGGCCGTACCTGCAAACATAACAAACACATGGTGGCATTAACATCAGGTCACTGACATTGACACAAGGAGTCTTCTTATTGTTGTGGAAGATAACCATGTTGATGCAGTGGTTTGGAAGGATATGCGCTGATAGCTTAAACTTTGTAATGGCGCGTATTAATGCACACTTAATATGCCACTGGTGCATTCTGGTTAACGACAAATTTGGTCATTATGCACAGTGAATGCTGTGCTATACAATTGCATATATTATTATTATTATTATCACTATTATTATTATCATCATCATCATCATTATTATTATTATTATAAAATTCTCTTCATAAAGAACAAAAAAAAAATCATTAGTGTAAACGTGTCATTAATAAGTTACCGCCCTTCGAGAATGTTATTTTTTGTTGTACAGGGCTCGATTAAAAGAACTTTATTTCACATGCATAAGGTGCATGTTGACATGAAAGCTTAGTTGCACAAGAAAAAAACAGGTAGCACCTAGTTCCCATAAATTTATCAAAGTTGAAACATGGATTCATACACAAGTCCAAACAAATAAAATCTCAGATCTCTAATGACTTTTTCATGATTTTACATAAATTGCTCTAAAAAATAAATCGCTGAAAAACATGTGCACATAGCCTTGAATTAGCCACGGTTGATGTCATCAAGACCAAGAAAGTATAATTACATAATTGTTATTAGTGATGCCGGTTCATAAAGCTTGGAGGTATTGAGTGTGTTTAAAGATAGTTCTTATATGGAAAAGTAAAGTAAAGTTCAAATAGCTGTTCAGGAGCTACCAGCTGTACAGTTGGAGTCACTGTTGTGTCTGCATGGATTTCTGAGCGTCTGATGGTAACCATGTCATAACCATGGACTTATACCAACTCGACACAGTAAATGTGACCAGAAAAAGTGTCTGACAATAAAAAAGCCTAATTGTGTAAAGTATCTCGTAATTTGATACTCAAAATATTTTGGTAAACGATTGAGACAAAGTGAACTTACCAGAAAGTGAGAACAGCCAGAGTTATGGAACCAAGCCGTACCAGGACAAACAAAACATTAAATATCATGAATCTGAAAGGAAAAACATGCATATGAAAACTCTCTGCTAAAGAACACATGAAAATTAGGACTAGGGAGTAGGGTGTGACTTCAGCATGTGAACATCAAGACAATATGAGTGATAGAGTTTCATTTTACGCACTTTTTGCAATATTCCAGCAATATCAGGCGGGGGACACCACAAATGGGCTTCACACATTGTACCCATGTGGGGAATCGAACTTGGCGTAAGGAGCGAACACCTTAAACACTTGCCTACCCAACCGCAACGTCAAGATGATATGATACAAATTTACGAGTTATGCCACAGATGAGACATGTTGCATGCTTCGTGTGCCTGCTTGTGACAGAAATTCTGGACGTAGTTCTTTACTTGGGGGTAATGTATAAGTTGAGAGGATCATGTCATGTCAGGTACAACAAAACATTTGTCATACTGGTCCTGAAGCTCACTAAATGTTCAGTCTTGAGTAGTTTCTGTGGCACTGGAATAGGATTCCCTTATATGACAGGCGTCATTTTTTATTAGTTTTATAACATTTAAACATACCCAGTATTAGCAAATTCTGTTTTCTCCGCAAAGTAGAGAAGGCGCGCCACATGGAAGACGAACTCCACTGTGTAGTGCAGCACCAGCATGCACAACGCCACTCGGCTGAAGCTGTGGAACACATGAGAAGAATATCATGCTGGTGTCAGAATATGAAAGGACAGTCTGGGACATTTAAGATGAAAACAATTGTACTGTTTAAATTATCTTCACGTTAACATATCTATACATGTTATATATTATGCACATATCTACATTACAATTTTCTCAAAGCATAATCAAAGCACAATGGTCACTCGTGTCAAAATGCTCACAGTAAGTGAGTGAGTTCAAATTGAAAGTCGCAGCAGCATTATTTCAAATCGTACTTTATTCATTCCAGAGTGAATGAAGCTAAAGGCGTTGTCATCAATATCATCCCCCTCCCCTAGAATTAGAATTACTCTCAGCAACCTATGCGTGATGTAAGAATTCCAAGGGCTAAGAGATTACCAGAAGTCAGGTGAGGACTTACTTGAGCACATAGGCCACAGTGATGAAGAGTAAGTACATGGTGGCATACTGGATGCGAGAACCCATCTCATCCTGCAATACAAGAACACCTGTGATGTTAACCTGAGCCTCAACAATTTGTCAACATGGTCAAGGTATGCCAAACTATGCTAACATATGATTCTCATCAACGATGATGCACAGAGGGGACACAATAGTTTCTGTATTTCAATAACGGCAAGACATACAATTTAAGATGGAGAAAAACAGATCCCAAACATACTGTACCCTTAATCCAAATAGGACTGGGGTTGCACAATATTACCGGTATAATGGGCAAAAACTACATAACAAGCTTTGTTATTATTTGTATCGTTTAAATATTGCGTGATTTTTCTCTCCAATGTATCCATGACTACAAGCTGAGGTGAAATAGGGTTTAACATCACGTTCCAAGATTATTGCACTTCTATAGTGACGTGCGTGCACATTTGTGAGCGTGCATGTGCGTCAGCTTGTACTAGTCCGGACCAACGACATTTTTATAGTGCTAGTCCATTGAGTTGCCATACCGCAGTTTATCATGAATACCCCAATAGGTCAGAGTATACTGACTCTGAGCCGACCAGTCCTTGTTTCAGCCCCTTAATGCCGAGTGCTAGGCTGGGTAACAAGTACGTGTACCATATTTTAACTTCGCCTGGTATGACACTGCTTGGGATCGAACCCACGACCTTCTGGTCTCTGCGCACACGCTCTGTCCACCAGACCATGGAGGCCATCGTCAGTGACTGCAAAATGGTGGCTACTGACCATGTCATATATACCTTAAGTTTGTAGAAAATAAGATCTTCGTGTACAATCGGTCCGAACACTTCCCAATATATCCCACTCTGTATCTCAATATACATATCTATATTGCAATATCATACAGCGCATACAAAGTTTTGGCCAATACACGTCCTAAATCATGTAAATTGGACAAAATTCTTTGTGAAAATTACAAACAAACCTTCTTTGTCTTTTGGAAGTAGAGCTCAGGGTAGCAATGTAACCAGTAGGAAATCTGTAAGTGAAAGGTCAACATGAATCTTGGGAAACTTTCTATTAATGAGTATAGAACAAGGTGTACTGAACACAGAATGCCATTCAGAAAGTGGTCAAATGTAACAACTGTTATATTTGGGGTAACACTTTCTTAGTAAGGTACAGATACTTGTACTTGGTACTTTTTTTTGTGCTTTGAAGCTTAAGTTTTCCAAGGTTCAGTGCGTGAACATATTCAGTGATTAACACATTTCATTCAGAAGATTACTACCTGCCAGATCACAAGTTGTGATATACGTACTAAAATACGCTATTTGAAGGGGGCTTGGCCTAAATGCAAATGTCTGATTGGGATTTTAAATTTTCGGGACCCCAGATCACAACAATATGTAAAACAACTTACTTGAATGATGAAATAAAATTTCACGATGAATCTGGAAAAAGAAATTGATGGGTTAAAGACATACAAATCATGGACAAACAATGGATTGATAAGTATTACTTACAATTATTCACAATAAGTGAATCATAAGACTTTTAAGATTATTTCAAATTATTTTGAGGTATGTGGCATTATTATATTTTTCTTAAAATTAATAATTTTGAAATATACAAATAATCGGCTATTATTAAACATTGTTTCAACCTTTTAACAATCACTTATCTAAAAGGTTTCTACATGCTGCTGTTGTGCAATCACATTTCTCATTTTGACGTATAAATGCATCTGGAAATAAATGATTCAGTGGACTGAATGACAGGTGACCAACCACCGGGTGTCAACAGTTACTTACGGCAGTTGTGAGTGCGGATACTCTTCCCATAACTGGTTTATATTTGTCACATAACTTTCCTGGAACAAACAAATTGACATTTATAAGTGCTGTTGTTTCAACAAATCACATTAATAAAATTTGAAGTTACATGTTAGTTCATATTCCAGGACAATGACTCAAAATGTACTGGGATTTTTCCAAATTTGTCAATGACATATAGAACAAGATGACATATTCTCCCGGTCTGGTGCAATTCAGAAATGGAGTATGGCTACTTTTATCCCACTTTTTTGTTCAATGCCATTGGATACCGTCAGTTCAGTTCAGTGAAAGAAATAATAATGCTGTTCTGTATTTTTCAATATCCAAAATCATCAAATGCACCAGATCAACACTAGACTGATCTGTATGGCAAGTTTCATCCAGAAATATTCAACGGTTTTGGAGTTCTTCCACAGAAACAAGCACTAGATTTATTTTCAGTAAAGTCCAACTTGTCATCATGAAAACTTTAAATAATTTTTTAAGAAGAATCCCGAAACATCAAAGGGTACCAGTTCACCACCAGACTGATCTGGGTGCCGTTTTACAAAAAAATGTTAGCGCTACGACTGTCGTAAGTCTGTTAAGATATGGGAGTTACGATCACCTTAGCACTAAGATATAGCTTTGTACATGCCACCCTGCACAGCAAGTTTCATGTAAAATTATTAAACAGTTTAGGAGTTCTGCTTCGGGAACGAGAACTATCCTCATTTTCAGTAAGTCCAAATTGTCGTCATGTTCATGAAAACATGAAATAAATTTTTTAAAAGAATCCCAAATCATCAAAGAGCACCAGTTCACCAATAGGCTGATCTGCATAGCAAGTTTCATGTTGAATTATTCAACAGTTTAGGAAATGGTAATCAAACGAATCATTAAAACCTGTTCCAATCTATTGGTGCCCACCCAACCATCCCCACATCACAGTACACCAGCCTGTACTCTCGAGAAAGAGAATGATGAGGCAGGATTGTCAGATGATCAGGTTGCTTAGGGTTGGCTTGCAATGGTGCATGACCCATTGTTTAGGTGGTGACCAAAGAGATGTGTTTGGGTGTAATGTTTTTAAAGCTGGAAACTATGTTTTAGGATGTTTCCACACCAGGATTGAAAGAAGAAGGAAGAAATGCATAGTGTGAGATAGGATAAGTAAAACAAATTAGTATTATATATTAACACATTGTAACATAAATTGGGAAATGTTGTGCTCATAACTGGAATTTTTATTCTCATTTGTTGCCGACTTGGGGCAATCCCTTATAAATCCCTGATAACCCATTGTATCATAGTGAGTGAGTTTGGTTTAACACCGCTTTTAACAGTATTCCAGTTATATCACGGCGTGTCAGCTTAATGTGGGAGGAAAGCCTGAAGTGATGCAGGTCTCAGACGTTTACCACTTCGGTGAAACCCACGAGCACGGGTATGGTGCTGACAAACCTAGAAACATAATCGGGGCGAACCGGGATTCGAACCCACAAACATAGGTTTCTGGCGTACCCAAGGGACGCAACTCTGCACAGCGAATTACGGCGCCTTAGACAACTAGGCCACCCGTGCCCCCCCCATTGTATCATAATGAATGTGTTATGTAAGAAGGGGCTGCACAACCTGCAGGAGATTCGTATTGCACCATGGAATAATGGTATGAGCAAAGAAGCATGTTACACTAAGATGATACCCTTACAAGATAACAACAAGGAACATACATCATACGCTGTGTTAGAATCAAACTTGAAAGTGCATATCACAATTTGATTGGATGGAAACTGTCAACTTACTCTCAGTATGATGTCTGCGCCCCAAACAGCTGACACCAGGTAGAACGACAACAGCTGACCAGACTCGTTAAACAGGCTGTGCTTTACTTTTGACAGATGCATTTTGCGATTCATCTTCTGCATGACACACAATTGAATGGAATATATTTACATGTCACGGAAATCAACTCCATTATTGCATATAAGTCATAAAAAATAGTTCCAGGTTTCAGAGTGGTTAATTTTCAAGGAAATTTCTTGAATATTCTTTTCATAAAAAATTAAACAACATATTGATGAAATCATGACAATGTTCAAGAATGTCCAAGTACCAACTGTCTTCAGCAAAATCAATTCACTCCCTTTTAAAATAACCTGAAATACCTGATTGAACTGCACTCATGTTCATATTGTATTTTGAAATTTTATATTTCCTCATACAAAACTGTGTTTACTGATGACATGCAAAAGTCTCTGAAATTTGTCATAATAATGTTAAAATGCCAACAGGGACTCTTACATCAAGGATGTATTCCTGGATGACAGCGTGGATGACGATGCAGATGAGGAAGTAAAAGAAGACAGCGAACATGTCCTTCGTTCCGTACGTATACAGGGAGAAATCAGCATCTTCGGTGTCTGGAAACAGAAGCGATAAATCAAAAGCAATTAGTATCTTTTACCTGTCAGACACAAATCAATCCAAAATACATAATCCAAACATTGTATTGAGGTGCAAATGTACCACTCAATATGCTCAAACTCTATTAACATGAATAACAAGATTACTCTTGAAGTCAGTTTTCATAGTCGCTTATCAATACTATCATGTATATGCCAACATCAATGAAACATGTGGTTTCAACAGTAATATATACAAACTGTGTCTCACCTGTAGGACATTTATAACAAGAAAACCATGTTATCACTATCCCCTGCCACGGGGCACACCAGAATATTGTTTCTTTATTTAGTAGCAAATACAAGGTTCAAAAAGATCTTTGGAATCTAAATTCAAGCATTTTTTAGCACTTTTCAAGGAAAAACACTTGTTTTCAAGGACTCTTTTCCTGTATAACAACGCTCACATGCTGTATATTTAATTGCAACAGTGACTGACAGTTTTTCTGGGGATGACTGCTTCATCAGTGAGACTTCAGCGTGCTTATCCCTATTGTACAAATAACACAGTGCTTTGTTTCTCTTTTGTTTTGTGCACCAACTGGCATTTTGAAACGTGACTTCCTCACGATTTAAACACTATTTGAAACAAACTTTCGGCCCTGCCTCTGTCACGAGTCGATCTGACACTCACAACCTTGTTTTGATCAGTTAGGGTGGCCTCTTGCCCACGCGGCAATTCAATACCCATAACTCTGTGTAGAAATACAGTTTGGCCTGTTTTTTACATTTTTTCCCCCCTTTTTGTTATCAAAAAAGTATTAACTTGCATGAAGAAAGACACATATAGTAACATACATTCATAATGTTTGTATTAATGTACTTTTGAAAAAAAATTTAACAGTAATCTTGACTTAGAAAGGGAAACTGATAAAAAAATGATGCAAAACAGTAGGGTTATTTCAATTGGCAGCTGCAAACTTCATGTGATGACTTTTGTAATAAATCTTATATCATTAGAATCGCAAATGCTTATGGAATACTATAATGCACTGTAACTCGATGTTTTTGGCCAACTTCCATGCGAAAAAATATCAAAAGCAGGAGAAATATGTTGGAATTGGTAGGCAAGCCGTTCGCGTGCATTCAAGGGAGATAACCAAGTCCGGCTTATTTACCATCAGCTGCCAAGAAGAAGAAGCTGCAATAAAATATACACCTCTAAGTACAACGTCATTATTAAGCGTAATACAATGTTGCCTTTAGTGGAGTAACGATGCATCGAACTATCGATTGATTGCAATTGCTTGCCTCACGATAGTACACTATCGATTGCAACTTGAAACAATTGATACTATTGGCGATAGTTTTTCTAACTATCGATAGTTTCGATAGTTAATTTGTTTGGTACATTTACTTTCTTAAAAAACATAGAAACAACTCCTATGATCATCTAACCTGTCGTGCTTTCGTCTGGATTGCACTTCTTTGTCTGCTTGATTTAGAGTTGCACAAAAGAGGCCCCTTCTCTTGTAAAAATAATTTATGGCACCAATTCCCAACTCAGTGTTGATAAGCAGGCAAAGTTTCATTCATATAACTTCAGTACTTTCTGAGACAACTTATTCCCATTGGAATAGTTGGTGACCATATGAACTTAAGTTATAAACATGGATCAAGGACCGTAACTGTGAATGCACAAAAATCTAAAAACATGTAGCAAGGGAAGTAACTCTGTAATTTAAAAAAAATAATTATGGCACCAATTTCGAACCCAGTCCAAATCACCCCACCCCAGGCCCCAACAATGACAAGAGGCACCCCTTCAGCCCCTGCTTAAAACTATTGGCAAGTTTGGCAGAAACATCTTTCACGGTTTTCAAGTTATGCTCCAGAAACATAATACAGATGGACAGCCAGCCCAGATGATGACTGTATACTACTACACATCTGTAAATGCTATTGATATAACTTATAAGCATCTTTGTCACATGCTCAAGACATTTAATCAAACATTTGTTTTACAGAAATCACAGATAACATACCAACTAATGGTGATGCATTTAGTATATTTATCATATTCATGTTGAACATCAGGTTATCACCAGCCAACTCATGTTCAGGACGACAAAGTTTCATTGTGTAATGGAGTCTCTTTTATTACCGTATTCGACATAATAAGTGCCCCGCTCTAATAAGCGCCAACGGCGATATTTGCTAATATATTGGCTAGTGAACAATCTGAATTAGCACCCCTTCAGATGGATCAATGTACACAAGGCTAATTTATTCGCGCACAATACGCACTTGTGTGTTATTATACTGTTATATGCACCGTTAATTATGGGGAATTAAATTCTGGAAAATTCTGTCGTACATAAACATTTCAGGCAGTCAGCATAAACCACGAAATTTATCTTTCAACTCTATTCTTTTTCTAATAAGAGCCCCCTAATTCTAATTTTGAGAGCACACAGGGCGTTTATTACGTCGAATACGGTATGTGTATTAATTTGATTGCATGGTTAGCGTTGTTCTACAACAAGTAGGACATCACAAGTTCCTGCGTACATATTGTAGTAACATCTCTAATATAATATACAGAATTCTTTGACATAGTAATTAGGCCAAAGCCTGAGTCTAGTAAAACTCTATTTGTCTAAAACTCTACGACAGTCCACATAAACTAAAAAATATTGGAAATGAGTTTGAGCCAAGGGTTCGGATAGTTGACTTATAGTTGACATTTTACGGCACAGGCTGATGAGTGTGAAAAATGTCTATCTTGTACAGGAAACACAAGCTATGCTGGTTAATTGTGTCTGTTGCCTGCCGAACCTGCAGAGATGTGCAATCCTGTGTCTTGACCTGGATTTTGTAAGTCGTGGTCAACTGGGCCATGTTAATGTTTGATCATGTCAAAAACCATCCCTGCCTAACTTGGTTCTCTAGTAAACTCTACATGTCTCATCATGGTTGTGAAATGTTAATCCTCAATCAGATCTATTTGAATTACAATATGTATATCGTGTATATGTCTATTATCTGTTTCTGAATGTGCACTTCCTGCACCACCTTAATGATGCATGCCAAATGGTGACATCAACTAGCCTTAGGGCAGATGAACTGAATAATGCACTAACAGTGCATCACAAAGCAATTATCTCCATGGCATAGAATGAGAACTATTGTTCACAACTATAATTTACAGCACCCTCAGGCAAAGGATTTAGAGTAAGATGAATAAAAATCTCTTAAATCCTAATTTAATTAGGTAAATCACAGTGACACAATTTACATAGAAAGTAAATTGAGTTCTATCTATCTGATACAGAAATTACTAGGCTGTAGAAAGGCTATGCTGATTAAATGTGTTTATTGTGTGCAGAACCTACAGAGTTGTGGTATCTAGTGTCTCATCCTGGGTTTTGTAAGTTGTAGTAATTGCGACATGAACATGGTCATGCTATCCTTTCAAAACGCATAAGTAGTATTTCATGTGAGACCATATGGATTTCAAATTTGGGTCAACTTACTACACACTTATGTTTTACACAAGAAAAATATTAAATATTTGGCACCATAAACATAAGTACATGCACACCAGATACTTGCAAAAATACTCACCATTTTGAGTTACGTTGTGCTGCATAGCAACAAACAGTGAAGCTACTGGTGATGTTGCCTGAAGAGAAAACAAATATTTAACATGGTTAATGTTGTGTTTACAAATAGCTCAATATAACATACAACTCAATAGATACCTGGTAATTGTTGTGAGGGGCATGCAATTCTTCTATTTTGAAAACTAAAACATACATTTCCAATAGACACGACAGCAAACAGCTGTGTAATGGATCATTTACAATCAGCTCGATCAAAAGGAATTAATAACTACCTAAATGTGAATAAATGAACATGGTTGACACATGGCACCTTAATATAAAAACAAATGGGCCAAAAAAAATTCATGATTTGGTTATGGAGCACTTAAAATAATACCTTCAATTATCAAAATATGTAAGCAGTGACATTGACTAGACTTACTGTCAAACACTAAACCTCTAGAATTAAACTTATTGATAATAATACAATGTAAACTATCAAACTCCTAATTCCAGAAAAAATATGTTACATTATAATTCATATTTTCTTGTAATATTGTTTGTTCCATCTACAGCTATATTCAGCCATATGGAATTAGCCTACTCCACCTACACTAATCTTATCTTATTTTGGCAATCTAATATACTAGGAGGGAGATGTTCAGTAGCCAACATTTTATTCACAGCTTATGAAAAAAAAGTGTCCTTTAAAACTATAATCGTACGGATCATAGCATCGGTCGTTACAAGATAGGTCTAATACTGTTATTATAAGACGCGACTCCAAAATTGCATGTCTTCCAATTTTCATGTGACACGACAGCAAACAGCTGTTAAATAAGATATTGTACAATCAGGATGTACAATCACACAAATGTGAACGTATGAACATGCCGCATTGTAATGTTTAAATTCTTGAAGACTGTGCAATACACATATAAAATTGATGTAGGCCTACTATTTAGAGCCGAGGGAAAACATATGGATATCTACTTTCGAAATGCAACTTGCTGCACATGCAAAAGCATCCGATCTGTTTTACTGACCTGAAACATGAGACCGATGACGAAGACCATAGCAACACAGGATACAATATCAGCATGGTTTTGGATAAAAAATTCATGGCTGAGAATTGGTGGGTTCTTGCTGCTCTTGGAACGTCTAGGAGCCATTTTCACTTCAGGTCTGTCAACCGGTGATGTGGCTTACACACGGGGCACGCAGAGAAAGGAAGTGGTGTGTGACGTTCTCGTTTTGATCTCGTGAGACAACTGTGATGGAACGGCAAATTCTATTGGCTGAAGTGAGAGTAGGCGTGGTGCTATGAGAAAAGAAAAACGTGGTTTAAGTTAGACACCTCCTCGTAAACAGTAAGACATAATTAATCTCAGTTAGTAGTCAATGCACGTTTCTTATGCGCGCACAAATAACCGACAAATTAGATTTTCACAATGAACACTTAAATAATATTACTTGGATGGTACCGGCATGTATTGCTTTCTAAGGAGGAAGCTGATTGGTTGATTACAACAGAGGAGGGTTATTCAAATAGATGACAGGGAAAATGTAACCCTTGAAAATATCCGACCTATGTTGTCTGTGAATTTGCGATTTTGAATATATGCAGTTACATAACTGCACATGAGCTACGTCTACATGTAATTAAAGAAATAGACAAATGTGTATGAGACAAATACTGGAAGAAAACTCACAAAAAATATCAATGTCTAACTTTTCACATGGACCATATTTCCCAAGGGTCAAATTGTTCCAAAAGTAGTTTTGGTTCGCCTGTCTTCTTATGCATGTGACGAACATATGTCGATGACAAGGGAACTTTGACAGATAAATTACCTGTAAGTCACACAATGTTTGAAAGTTCATTATGTGTATCCAAAGTGTAGATTCTACATCGTTTCCATTGATGCTTATTTTGGAAAAACAAACTATATTTTGATATCCCATAAAATACGTATAGTCATATGAATTTGCGATTTTGAATATATGCATAAACATAACTGCACATAAGCTACGTCTACATGTAATTAAAGAAATAGACAAATGTGTATGAGAAAAATACTGGAAGAAAACTCACAAAAAGTATCAATGTCTAACTTTTCACATGGACCATATTTCCCAAGGGTCAAATTGTTCCAAAAGTAGTTTTGGTTCGCCTGTCTTCTTATGCATGTGACGAACATATGTCGATGACAAGGGAACTTTGACAGATAAATTACCTGTAAGTCACACAATGTTTGAAAGTTCATTATGTGTATCCAAAGTGTAGATTCTACATCGTTTCCATTGATGCTTATTTTGGAAAAACAAACTATATTTTGATATCCCATAAAATATGTATAGTCATATGAATTTGCGATTTTGAATATATGCAGAAACATAACTGCACATGAGCTACGTCTACATGTAATTAAGAAATAGACAAATGTGTATGAGACAAATACTGGAAGAAAACTCACAAAAAATATCAATGTCTAACTTTTCATATGGACCATATTTCCCAAGGGTCAAATTGTTCCAAAAGTAGTATTTGGTTCGCCTGTCATCTTATGCATGCTCTTAGGTCTAGCCACAATATTACTCCATAATTCCAGCCTATTTTGGCAAGGGTGGAAACTGGACTTTTATAGTCAGTTAACTCCCTTGTCCAGGAAGATAGTAAAGGACATCATAATGTCATACTTGTTTTGTTTGTTTGTTGTTTAATTCCGCCCTCGGCAATATTCTAGCTATATGACAGCGGTCTGAGAATAATCTGGTCTGGACCAGACAATCCAGTGATTGACATCATGAGCATTGATCCACGCAGTTGGGATACGATGAAATGCATCAACCAAGGCAGCAAGCCTGACCACCTGATCCCGTTAGTCGCCTCTTATGAAAAGCATAGTCGCCATTTACGACAAAAACATGGTTGCTGAAGACATATTCTACCCCGGATCTTCACGGGTCATAATTTCATACTGTTTGATGGGACGTCATCTTCTTGTCAGGTCACAATTGACCCTGTTCCTTCTTCAAAGTTACCACCCTGAGGGTCTGATGGCGGTCTCAAGATAGATCTTATTGTCATTCATAAATGTTCAACAGATAATAATTCTTTGTAAAATGTTGATAAATTCATTTTATGTGTCCCTAGCAGGGTGTACAGAATTGTGCTTGTTCGTTTGTGTATATCCCTTCGGTCTCTTGTGTACAAGCCCATCCAGCTTGTAGAATCCTGTACACCTGCTCTCGACACATGCAACTCCTAGTAAAGTATCACTTAAAATTCAGCGACTATGCTTGTGGGAAGAGGCGACTAACAGGATCAGGTGGTCGGGTTTGTCAACTTGGTTGATACATGTCATCGATCCCAATTGTGTTGATCGATGCACATGATGCCAGTCACTGTATTGTCTGGCCCAGACTCGATTATTTACAGACCGCCATCATATAACTGGAATATTGCTGAGTGCAGCGATAAACAACAAACAAACATACAAACAAACTTAAATATCATGATAGATAGTAACTTAAAAATTAGAGGCTAATGACCAATGATTGGTCTTAGCATTTAGTCTTCTTTAGATCATCTGAAAGGAGAAAAAATACTAAGACCAAAAAAGAGTGGAATGAAATTTCTCTTGTTACCTGTGTTGTCAAAGAGGATGAAATGCAGATCAATGACTGTCATGGAAATCTACTAGAATCATCCATTGATCAGAACACCACAAGCTATGAGTACAGACGTCCTTATATGTGTATCAATAAATACTAGGAATTGGAGCAGCCTAAATTTTACATCTAAATACCTGTGCCTGAAGCTATCACCTTTGGGTACTATGTTTCTACACATCATTTACAAATGACAGTAAATCTGTCAAGTATGCCATAAGGACTTGTTTCAAAGACAAAAAATAAGGCTGCAGGCCGAGCTTAGTTTTTATGACTGTAATAGAAATAGACGAGGGAGGTCCTACTTCTTTCAACAATAGGCCACAGTTCCTTGTTTGCAGGAAGGTTTTAAACAATATACTCGTGCAGCTCCAATCATTACAACCTTTGAAATTAATGCTTGTCTGCTTGCCTGAGATTTAGATCTGGCTGTGGACAAGTGAAAATCCAGGGATTGTAGTCCTCATTGGCAAGTAGCATTTGAGGGTTGTCATGGTGAACCAGTTCTCAATAATTCAATTGTGCTACAAATTCGAACTGAATAAAAGCGACAGAAAATGTAAACATAGTAAACATTTTTTTTTTGTTCAAGCAGGACTATTTACAAACACTGAGGTTTACACTCGTCCTCTGGAAATTTCTCAAATTTGTAAGGCTGCATTAATTATGATGTCTCTTTCTGATCGCACTATCAAATTTATTTAAATATGTCTTAAATATATGCCTTAAAGGGACAGAATGTCGGCTGCTCTGAAACTTTGTTTACAGTAGACAATAACCTCCGAGCTTACTCGGCCCAGTTTGTTTCATTCCGTTTCTAGGCTTATCACGTGACCAGACTTGTCTCAAGTTTGTACACAAGTGCACTTATTCTGAAATAAGAACAGACAGGCCTAATGCTAGCCTTTTGATGCACTATACATATTGTTTTACATAATATATAGATATACTACTACAACTGCGACACTGAGGTTCATATGACAACATAGCTTTACACATCAAAGTGACCGTATCACTAGCTCTCCATGTGGGATAAATACACAAATAGAAATAGTTTTTAACGTTTTGGGATATTTCCTCAATGAAAGTTAAACATTTCATGACTTATGTTTATCCAAATGTGTAGACTCATCCAAAATGAAACAGACGAAAAACACATGAATGAGCTCACAAGATGTGACAGAGTTACTCAGCTGGCCGCAAGGACAGTGGGTAGGATAGTGATTAAAGTACTCATGGAAATGTAAAAAATCTGTTTTGCTTGATTAAATAATCGACACAAAGCATTACGTAGATGTAAATACGAAATAACAAAACAACTGGAAAAGTACCAGTCTGGATTTGCTAGTTTTATCTCAGTGCTCAATACAAAATGTACTTTACAGGATGTAATTTGTAGGCACTTTCAACATTCAACAATAAGTCCAAATTGACATGGCAGACAGGCTATTGGCATTATACAAATTAGCCTGGAAAAAAGTTATCAAAACAACAATAAAAATAACAGCTATGTTTATGTACATAATAATAATGACATGTAAGTTGTTGTTTGAGAAGGGAATATGTTACTTTTACGTTCTGATATTTTGACGATGATTCACTATCCCACAATGCCACTCACAAATCACTAACCACTCACAAATCACATACATGCACATGGGTTTCAAGCACCTGTTTTTACCTGTCGTCAAGGTGTCATAGGTCATGGACATTCACCTTGATCTACTAACACCTAGTTATGCTCAGTTTCACAATAGTCTGTTTTGTTAATATTTTTACACACTTTTACGTGTAAAAAGTCTTTTGGTATGACGCTGCCGGGAATCGATCCCCAAACCTTCCTCTCTCTGGTAGGGCTGCAACGATACAGGAAGGTCACGATACGATATGCATCTCGATATTCTGGTCACGATACGATACGTATCTCGATACGCAATGATAAAAAAACAAGACTTAAAGCATGTCAAGATTGAACCTTTCATGATTTTGGAACAGTCAAAATTATTTTATAATAACAAGACTACTGAAGTTGTTCAGCTTCAAAGTGGAACTTCAAACAAAGTTCAAACACCAGAAAATAATTAATGTGCTCCACCAGTGATACAACGTCAAAAATTTTGATGCAATGGTCTAAGAAATTGTATCTGAAATTATTGTTTTATCAGGAATAATATATTCCAATATCGTGTTACCTTAGTTGCAGCTTTTACTATATATATATTAAAAATTATAAGAACCACTAGTGTAGCATTTTGGTACTGGTGATCGCTATTGCAGGATATTTTTGCGCATGGAACAATTTGACCCTAGGGACTTCCCGTGCTACATGTATTTCGATTGCGAAAACGTTATGTAGACATATATTAGCCAAATTGCCACAAAAATGACTTTTAACGAGTCAAAGTATGGCATTTTTAATATATGTATCCATTCTCTAGCAACAAAAGTTCGTTTCAATGCGTCAAAAGCGGTAATCTGACCGTGGTTGCTGTATCTCTTCACACACGATTTCACATAACTTAATGAAAACAATATTAAATGAAATTTTGAAAAAAACTATTAAAATATATTACAAACAAGTCCAGGTTTACAATGAACACGTTT